TATATACTCAGAAAAATAATATTATGCTATGCCATGTTGGCAGTGAAATAAATCTGAAGAATTGTGCACCAGGCCCCGAAGGCTAATCTCGCGGCTCGCTCTCTACTTAGTGAAACGACTAAGGCACCACACTGCCGGCCACTATCATCAGCACATACTAGTGCCCAGACAGACGTCTTGAGATGGTGAACAATGTCGAGATTGTTTAGCAAGCACTAAATACACTTCAATGTTGTACTAATGTAATTTCAAAAAGATGTGCCCTTCGTAAATTTAGTACATAAACGTAACCATCTCCATGCACGCCATCACTCAAAGTTGTAAAATTGAACCATTTCGATACAACAACGTTGTTCTGTATAAAAATAATCTATAGAACAGTAATATGTAATCGCATTACAAACATTTTGCGTTGAGATGCGTTCGTTGCCTATGTGTATGCATTGATAATACAAGTAAAGTTTTGCGCAAAAATATTTCTACCATTGATTCATTGTTACCTTCAATGAATAGCAGTATTTGGAAATATTATAGAATAGCTAACAGAACATATTGCCATATTCGTACAGTATTATCTGACATCTACAAATACTGCTATATAACAACACATTTACCACCTATCACCTCCTATTTAAATTTTTCTTTTCACATTCATACGCTTCAAAATCGATTATAACCACTCAAAACATACCTTTGAAAGATTTACGCCTCACTAAAGAAGTCTTCCATTTTGATGACAGTTTAACGTGCGCTCTCACCGTTTATAAAAACAACAACAAACTTTTCTGATTTTAAGGAATTTGCTAGCACAACTCAACTCTTCATGAAGCACATCTTATCTCACATCCATTATTTCGAATATAATCACTAATTATATCTCTTAACCCTTTGAAACTGATGTACTTTTTCCACAAATAATTGCTATGCACTTCTGCACACATCAAAAACGATAACTAATCGAACGATCAGTTGAACGGAACACGTCGTCGTTGTCAATTAACTGTCCAGATGCTTCGTGCAACAATACAAACAAATGAATCCATATGAACAACCTCTCATACCAAATATTTCTACTTTTTCAGATTATATTATCGCACTTAACTATCAGTATATCACCGTTGCTGTAATTATACCAAAGTAATGCAAAAACTATGTCAAAAGTTGGTATGTGATTCAAAAATACCTCAGGGAAACAACGAATGAATAAATTCTCTATTTGCAGCAGCATTTTAGAATCGTTTATGTACTCAAGTACTCAACTCTCGAACAGCACCACACACTCGTCATAAAACCTTATAATACTCGAAACAATCAAGACGTGGAATACCAACAGAATTCATCCATCCAAAAAGGTGTATTTACTTAAAGACGAAACAACAAAGACCGTCGACTTCAATGAATTAGATTCCAAAGCGGTGAGCGATTGAAACTGGCACTGTGTGAAACATAAACACAGCATCCTTTTGGCAGCATGGCAGACTGCTGCCATTGGTGTCATGCAAAAATCCTCATTTCTTCCATCCTCATCTCCCATTCCTCTCACCCCTCTCCTATTACTTCTCAAAAGTGAATCAACAAAATTTACAATTGATCAAGATGTTGCCGCCAACAGTTCATCACTGATCACTTGTTTCTAGTCAAACAAAACATCATTAAAAATAAACGAATTTGTTAACCTCTTCAATACTCCTTGATATTTTCCTAGGAGGATTTTCCCTCCGATGAGAACTAATAAAAAAATAGCAATTGATTTAAACCAACCTAACGATGTCATTGACGTACGTCGGCTCTGTGCATAATAAAGTGAACGTGGTGAAGCAGACCTACAATATGACAGATATTAAAACAAATAGCACTGATCTGTTCATATAGCCGATTTATCAATGCACTTAGATAACACTGAACTAATTTGAACGAACGAACAGTGTGGCGATCCAACGGAACAATCGATAGAATGAATAAAGAGCAAAATGATAAAAGATTGATTGATAAAAGCATTGATTGATGAATCAAGCGAGCATTGATCTGATACCTGTAATTAAGTGTATTGCTGACTGCGATCGGTCCTTCACTGGCACCATTAAATAGCAATGGATGATACGGTAAGGGTGTTTCTCGACGTACTGGAAACGACGGCGTTGGAGTCCGATTCGTAGTTGAAGATATCAGCGAGACCTCCTTCAACAAACAGATCATTCATGCATGTCTTCTTAAACGAACTGCATCAAAAGCGATAAAAATCAATCAACGAAGAAGCACTCAAAACATTCAAAAAACCATCATTTAATATCATATTACCACTTTTTGCAGCAAACAAAATATTTGCAGTTATTTCGTGTACATTTGAGTTTTACAAAAAAAAATAGGAAATCAGAGTTGAAGAACTTGTTCCAAATGAGTTGCAAAACGAGAAACCGTTTACATGAATAAAATAATTATAGGCGCACCTAAAACAAACTTTCAAAAGAATAAAATTTCACGAATTCATTTATCTATCAATCTATTTATCTCTTACTATAACTGATCACGACAAACACATTGTATTCATTCAACAAAATCTTTCTGACACATTTGGAAATTTGACGTACGCACTTAAAATGTTTGATAAAGACCAATTTGATTACTTATCAACTCATTCATCAGCTATCAGTGATATGCAGAAATTGGATTACGTAGACAGTAACAGCAGCAGCATCATCAGCACTTTTTAGTGTTGATCCCAGAAGCAGAAGATCAACGAAGAGATAAAAATATGGAAATGGATTCTTAATACACAAAAAAACCTTCACAGAACGCATTGTTCGGTCATTCATATTCAAAGTATTCGATATATAGAAACAGACATATGCTCAACCAGAATAAATTTGTTTACATTTGAACATAGCCCTTTCACGATTTCTGTGCACTGAAGCACTGGTTGTCTTCTACATAAACATAACTACCTCACATCGAATTATTAGCAGTAATAACATTCAGCATTCATTTTTTTTTGAATACAGTATGAATGAAAAACGAATGATAAAATGAATGTGTGAAAAAATAATCAAATGAAAAAAAAACAAATAAATACACGAAAAAAGAATCAACGAATGCATAAATTAATGATTAATATTGATAATAAGTCCATTGAAGTTCTGCAAAAGATTTTTAGGAAAAATTGGATAACGTCGAAGACGGGTGGTCGTCAAAATTTTCAGTTGGTGAAAATTAATTCAGTTGATCAGAAAATTTCAGCAAGAAGGCACATGATCAATCGGTTAACAGATAAACAAACCTCAACTGGAGTCTGTTGCATGCTTCTTCGAGTGAGTGAAGGCGACCAATTCTGATGATTGTTTAGTTCAGTTCGTTTCAAAATTGAACGAGTGGAAATGACATTGTTGTTGTTGTTGTTGTTGAACGATGAGACGCCGTCTTGATAATGAGGAGCTGGCGGCACTGCGTTTCTGTCGTGAAACTAAATTAAACTCTATTCATCAAATTTGAGCAGCATTCACATTTTCGTCAATCATTGCTAGTATTTAGATTCGAGTATTATTTATTGAATGTTTATTAAGATACATCGGACCATTTAGGATATTATGAATAAATTAAGTTTATGAATATTCAAATAAATTAATAACCATTCATTAATTCGTTTAATCTGACTATGATATCTGATATTTATTATAAACTTATTAAGATACAAATCAAGAAATGGCATCAGATATGTGATATCTGTGCAATATCTATTAATTTGATTGTCAACTCAATAAACGTTTGAACTGATGGTTACCACCGAATTTTTTTCGTTTAAATCAACCAACTCCTCCATTCACTTTATGTTTCACGTTTCGCAGTTTGGCTCGAATATTAAGAATTAGAATAAGTTTTCTACTGACATCTCAAGAAAGTGATAGAAGGAATGCATAAAGGAACGTTTATAAGTGATAATGAAAAAACCTTTTATCAATGACGAAGGCATTCAGTGGATAAAGGAGCATAAATCAATTAAAGCAACGGGATTAGATAACCTGAACGATATTTTTGAGATGACTGAAATCACCGCCATCTTCAACGTCATTAATAAGTTCACCATCTTCGACCCTTTGCAAATTGTTACGTTCTTGTTGATAAGGTGACTGAAAAATGCAATGCAAACACCAGTGATATGATACTGATAGTTATCATTAGGAATCTTTCATAATTCGAGAATTATTTAAATGACTGATGAACTAATAATCGAAAATAATTCATCAAAAGAGAAAGGATGAAATCACTCAATAATGTGAGTATCAATCACCATCCATTCATTCATGTACCAATATGGAGCAATGAAATTGCTTGTAACTGAATCACTTAAATTTCAAGGACGGATTAAGAACGAAGAAGGTGATATGATAACAATATCATCATTGAATAAGATTTGATGATGACTAGAGCAAAGCATATGCACACTGAGTCATTTATTAGCATCATTAGTCATTTACTTCATGAGTTGGAGTGCGAGCGAACGATCGTCGTGGATACGGACTCGCTGGTGGACTTCTGGAGCGTGCTCGAGGTGGTGGCGTTGGTGGTTTATGTCGAACAAAGTCTGTTGCTGATCTAAAAATGTCGATCTTATTTATAACTCCGAACGTTTTAGATGGAATTTTATCTGACAGAAAGGATCTCGAACAAATAAAAACGATGAAAATGTATTTAAACGTGAAAATTTAGGACTTCCTTAGAGCAGTTATTATCATTATCATTTGTTATTATTATTATCAATTATCATTATCATAACTGGAATAAATACGAAAACACTGGATCCAGATTATTGGGATATTCATGTGGAATTTAAATTAAGATTACTGCATTCAAAAAGACGGGGTATGTATGCTCAATTTACTTGGGTGGCATCACTCTACGTGTTGTGAATGGTTGTTGTTCATCTCTGAATTGATGTTGTTGTTCAGGATACGGTGAACGTGTGTTTCTAAGACGTTCCTCCTCGATTTGATATTCAGTTAGAGCATCATCTGAGGCCGTAACAGTTCGTTGGCCATAACCTTCCACACTATAATTGCGTTCATCTCGACCTCGAGCCAACTGTCGATCATCACTTGCGTGCTTTAATTCCTTAAATACATCAGCAATCCATTTGTTTCCAATTTGTCCTAATCAGTTTCGTACAATCGAAAAAACGAATGCAAATCAAGAACCTCAAGTAGCATTTTTTCTTGTCGTTTCCTTCTCAGCACTTCAGGATTATTATCTCGCTTCGTTTTCAGTTTCTTCAGTTGCGATTTCAACCAATCGTCTGCACTCTCGGCATCAGTTAATGAATCGTAACGATCATCACTATATCGATTTGTTGCTGTACGAGATTCTCTTCAAAAACTTTTCTTTACTCAGCGATTGTTGAGTGTATTTTAGCGACTTATAATACAATCACTCAATAGGACATTCCTGATGATGACATGGTGCCGAAATGTTGAGCACTGCCACTTCATTAGTATTTTTGATTTGATTAATGAATAATTTGATTCACTGCGTTCGTCGTATTATATATCATCAGCATAATAACATCGACGGTTCAGTTTGGTAGTATTATTATGCGGACGAGTTGCAGTGGCACATTATACAGTAATTTGATAGGTATTACCTGAATATTGGTGCAGAAGTGGCAGATCGGCAATTTCGACTTCTGAATGAATCACGCTCACGATTCAATTCACTCAATGAAGTGGCGGGTTTTGATGTTGTCGTTGGTGTTGAAATTGCTTCATCAATAACGAGCCGATCTCTGCAATCGCAACAAATATTATGGCGTAATCATATCGTTACATGCGTTTATGTACAGCATGCAGGTAATACGTTTAGGTAGAGCACGTTAGACTCGATTTGTGAATTGCATACAGGTCTTAGACCTGCATGCAATTCACGAATCGATACAACATGAACGAAAAAAAAAACAATGTCAGTGTTTCGTTATGAGCATCAAATCGGCCAGTCTTCAAAAATAATTTTAAAATGAAAAACAAAACGATCAAACAGACGCAATACAATAATTTTAAATTGAGGTGCTGCGCTTGAAAATGAACCAACCTTGGTGAGATCTCTTTGAGCGGTTTACGAGGTAATTCAACGCTTTTTGATGAGGGTTGTTGCTTGCTTGATGATGTGGCTACAGCGGAGGAGAAAGGTATTTGGAGATGGCATGGTTCATTACTTCCAGCATTTCTTTTAGCGTCTGCTGATGAGTGTTGTAGCGGTGTTGAAGAGGATGTACCGTATGATAAGTAAAAATCAGGATCACACAAGTCATCCATATCACTACTGAAAAAATTTCATTTCAAATTTCATTATTTTCACATTGAACTAGACATTTTTTAATTTCAAAGACAACTCATAATCATTATTCAGTTCTTTCTATACGTTAAACAAATCGCATTCAAAATTTGCTTCTACATAGACCCAAAATCCAATATTGCACTAAATTGCACATCCCAAGCGTTTTTTTCCAAATGCAGAAGTCCGCTATAAACTTTTCTCATGGATTTCATGAGCTCGAATGTTAACCGAGCGAGTACAGTTCACTGATTGATTGTATAAAATACTCACTTGTATGCATCATCGTTCAAAGTTTTGTATGAGCCATATTTCGTTTTTCTTCGTTTCGTTGCGCGTTTCGCTTGCTCAATAACCTGCAATAATTGGAATCTATTCGATATACTCAAGCTTAAAGTTTCCTCCGAATTCTATCACCTCTGTTGTCTCGAGTAGAACCTTCCCATGAATGTTAACTACCTTTATGTGCACAATGAAGCCGACCCCTTCTCAAAGATGTGATAAATTTATTATATATACAACATTCCGATTTGATAAATACCATTGGTTTTTCTTCGATTTGTGTCTCATCGAATATTTCATTGGAAACATTGGATGCAGGACTTGTAGTGCTGGATGATTTGACTGGGAGGAGACGACCATTAGTTAGTGATGCGTCTTTAGCTTGTATTATTTCACCAGCTGCACCATTGATCGTTGTTGTTGATTCATCTTGTTGTTTCTTTGAAGAAGCGTACTTGTTTGTGATCTTCAAACAATTTACAGCAATAAAACTGCGAAAGAGAGCGTTTTTAGCTGACTAATCTCATGCGATTCAGTTCAGCTTTGAGTTGTCTTCAAGCGATACTCATATTCAATTCATCATTCTCCATCTACCTACCTGTTACACAACATATGCTGGCCGCTCCCTCTGCTCAACTTAATACTCAACCTACTAGGTTCGTTTCGCTGAACATTATGAAGGCAACTATCTGTTGGTTACGTTACGATATCACAAATACTCTCAAATCCCTCCCATATCAAGCGAATGGAAATTGTAAAATTTATGATTATTCTTCAAAAAATCTTAGAGCTTTCGCAAATCCTCCTTTCCCATTGATAGTGGCTTGCAATCCATGAACGAAACTAGCTTCTAATAATCATCACCTCTTCACTGTGTTGTCAGAATAGGCGAGCAGTTCAACTGTGATGGCTCATTAACGTTTCATATGCTTTTCTAAGGTGTTCAGTCATTAGCATATCCGCATAGGATTTCAAGTGAAGCCTGTTTGGGGCTCGTTTATACGAGCGCTCAATGGTCGGTTCCCTTCGCTTACACAGACAGCAGTTCCCATGCTCACAAAAAAAAAAACTTTGTAGATATAACCAGTTTTCAGTGATAACAACGAAACGTCATTGGCACATCTGAGGTGATAGAATACAAACAGCTGAGTTTAAAACAAAACAATGAAGATGAAGCAATCAAATGAGACGAAAATGAAATGAAAATGTGTTATTTGAACATAAGATGTATTGTTCATAAGGTATTCAATGAATACTTGTTTTAAATATTTCATTTATTCTATTCTTCATCCGAACTCTGTCCTCCCTCCCCTCGTATGGAACAAGTGAATGAGTTTGCCAACCTTCTTGTACTTATACATAATGAAATGTAGATGAAATTCGTTCAGGTGTTATTCTGTTAAGTGCTATCAAAGATCATCGAAATAACTTATCACTGGAATAGAATTAACTTCTTCAAAATGACACAAAACAAAGACAGTGCAAGTACAAAATGTATCTAAAAACAGAGATGCACTTCAGAAATTATCATTTAAAAAGATCAAAAATGAATTTAGCTAATGGCTTGATGTAATCAATTCCAATGAAGCAAACAACAAATTCCATAAAGTAATGCGAACTGCACAGCAATAAACACGAAACGAAGAGAATTTGCAGAAAAATTATCGACGGAAATGAGATCGCTCGGAGGTAGATAGATGGATCTAGTACTGTTTCAATCAGCAAAACGCCTTGCGAGTGCAATGACATTGAATATTACATTTTGATAAATACTTTAATTCTAGTCACCCAGTCGTTCTTTTTCAATACTTGTTCGCCTATTTTTCGTTTTAATGTAATGAAAAAAACACGATCCAAATAAGGAATTTCTGCACTACACACGATGCTCGCGTAGTAGACTCGATGAAAGCAAGAAGACGAATCACCTTATCGATTTCGTCGTCCCATTTCGGTGTTTCAGGTCTGCGCACCAACTCGGTAGAAACCACTGGAACTTTTGCGATTTCGGACGGTAACGGAGGTGTATCGAGCGCGCGTGGCTCCTCCACCCGCTGCCATTGCATCGGTTTTCGTGGCGTTGTAAAATGCTCATTCAGTGCTTTCGCAGGAACATACGAAAAGCACTTACTTGCTGGATCATACCTTAAAAAATGTTCATTCTTCCACCGTTCACATCATCATCATCATCATCAACAGATGATTATCATTGTGATTAATTGCACTATTACAGAGGTGAGTGAATACTCCTCTACAGATATCATTAACACCTCAGCATTACCAGAAACATCAATCGATATCCAATCATATTAACAGGACAATCCACCCTTCAGGCCTATCCAGTCAAGTTTCTGTTATTCGATCATTCGTATTCTACAAATATGGATAACCCATACGATGATGAAATAATCATATTACAGCTATTGCATTTTTTGCATCTATTACTACATATGTTAGATCGAGTTATGTAACTGGCCGAATCAACGATTGCTTGTTTCAGTGCTTTTGTTCACTCTCATTGAAATCATCCCGTATTTATAGCAACCAGTATCTAACTCAATTTTGCGAGCATTAAAAATAATGCATCAATTGAAGCGTCAACATTCAAGAGTATAAACACATACACTGACTAATAAAGTTGATATGCATTAAAATTTCAAGAATAGAACAATTAAGAAAATTTGTATCAGATGGCTTGTAATCTACGGACAGATCAATAACAGGTGTACGGATGAACCGATGAAATGCTTACAGCCGGCAACTATTATTATCATATTCACTCATCAATGATTTGATCGAATCAAGAGAATATTTTAAAAATTCCTGACATAATTACAATCATCACAATGCGTATGTGAAACCACTGAATTCAATGAGATTTACAAGATTGACTTATAAAATATTCTTCAGGAAAAAATGCAAAAATTTTTTGCATTTTCCATCAACTTAAGGCATCAACATTAGATGAGCAACTTAGGTGGTCTTCTCTTATGGCTTTATGATGTTCTTACACTGATTAAATACACAGGATTAATTCGAACGATCGGTATTAGGCAGTAGGCACTTTCTGTTTGACGAAGCTTGCAAATGAGCACACAATGAATATAAAAATTTTCATCCAGCCAAATTAAACCAAACGCTTTACCTAAGCATGAAATGGGAAGTTTATTTTTTACCAACAAAGTTCGAATGACTGAAAAAAAATTGTCACATATGAAGACGAATTTCTTTCTGAATTAATGAAATCAAACGTGCATAAATAAATCTATGGTGATTTATTTGCATTTACGAAAATGATGCAGCAATACATATGATGGCAAAATAATCACATGGATAAGTATTGAAGATAGACAAGATGAGATGGATATATTACCATCGGTGAAGGAGTCTATTGAATCGAAACAAATTTGAAAATAAAACCGAAAACCTTTCCGATATTCTAACTGAACCAGCAACATAATGTTACCAAGAGAGTCGACGGAACATAAGTTTAGTAGGCATTTCTCACCTGTCTTTAGCAACGAGATCTGGTTCAATACATGGTGTTGAACGTCCATCCATTGGACTTTCAGACCGTGTTGTTGGTGTTGGCCTCACGATCGATGGTAGCGCAGAATGTGATCTTGACAGTGATGTATGTTGCTCATTTCTTCTGAATAACCTCTCCAATGATTATAAATATGCTTTCTTCTTCTTCATCATTACTTTTATCATCATCAAAATAACATACTCCCTGACTCATTCGCATAATCTAGATACACACAGTCATACTTCATTCCATAAAGCATTTAAGTTTCTATGAACCGCACGAAAATTTCACTCAGAAATACTGACGCTAACAATCAAACGTGCATCACAAAACCCAACAATAATTCGCTCACTTGCTACTGATGTCATCAGTTTCGATGTCTCGTTTGCTAGTTCCTGCTTCAACACTCAGCCGTGGTTTTGGTGGAGGAACGGGTGGCATTCCTCCTTTTTCCTGAAATCGTAATACAGATCAGTTCTGTTACACGAAATTCAGGATCGCGTGCTTGCAAGAGAAACTCTATGCGAATAAACCAAAATTAATGCGGTAATGGTGTGCAGTTAATGGAATAATAGTGAATATTGAACGTTTAATTGTTAATGATGAGGTAAACCTCAATTTTGACTGACACTGCTTCATCTTTCTTGCTTCATTTGTGAAAATTTTTCAACAATAAAGATGTGCAATAATAAAGGGAAGAGAATACGATGATACACATGAGTAGAGTTCTGAATGTGAAAAATGAGTGGGAAAACAGGATACAGGATTTGTGAATGATTTAATAATAAATTCATTGTTCGCTACGCAACATTCAGCATAAATTGTGATGCCAGCGTCTGGAGTGCAGACAAATTGTGCTAATACAAACAAATTCGAGAAATTCTGAGCATTAAAAAGTTTTTTATAACGAAATTCAAACTGGAAAGAATTTTAGAATTTCTTAAATTTCTCACTATCTGTACACATTATTGTCATCATTGAGTGTGCACTAAGAGAGAAAAGAAATCGAAAGGAATATGCGCGAGTCTTCAATTGTTATCATTGAAAAAATATTCGAAGTATGCACGTGCACTGACTGTGGATTTGTGGTGAAGTTTTGATTTTCTAGTCGATCTTTTTGGCACATATAAGAATCATCACCATCACCACCAGGAACAAGAGCAATGAGAAGAAAAGAGAAAAATAAGACAAATCACAAAATAAAGAATATCGACTATAGGATGTCGGTCGATTAGCTTAGAGCTCTTCAAATTTCGTCGTTGTTCAATTCATGTGAGCAATGAATGCACAGTTGAAGAAGTAAGTGTATATGCGCTATCTATCTACTTGCATTTACACCAAACAATTCATTCTTCAAACGACTAACCATAAGCTAGCTCTATTCAATCTTCTTTTTGTTGTTTATGGCAAAAAAACAATTTCTCTTTTGTGAAAATAAGTCGGAACACTTCCGTTCAACAAACTTTTATCGATCAACGTTTAAGTAATCAATGGACTTATCCATTCATTCACTCATCATGAAACGCCTCAGAATTTATTATTCGCTCTATTCGTGAACATTGACGATAAGTTGACGAAATCAAATCGGAACGCAAATGAATGCACACACATACACGCATGTAGTATTTACAAAATATCGAGCATTTTCTGAATACCGAGATCGGTATTAATACCGGATTTTTTTCAATACCAATACGATACCGGTATTGAAAAGCAACTTTTGAATTATAGAAATGTGACTCTTCCAACACACTCTTTTTGAGGCAGCGTGTTCATAATTATTCAGAAAACAATTTGTCTAACAAATCACTCACCAAAGCCCATGAGATTCAACAACAAAAAAGAGTCGTGATGGATATACTAGCAAATTCACTTAAAATGATTTGTGGTATTAATACCGGAAATACCGCGAATATCGACACCACGAATCCTGAGATCAGTATCGTTTTTCTAGTACCGCTATTCGGTACTAACGAGATCTCGTGCAAATACTATACGCATGTACCTATTGTACAATTGAGCGGCGTATATCAAGTATTCAAAAGAAGAGCAATGTTGAAGAGTTATTTAAGAACGATATTGATGATGATGAAGATAATGATAAACGAGATTAGATGCGCAGCAAAACACTTTCTGCGTTGGGGTTGCTGATCGAATCAATCAAAAGGCGCTGATTAGGTTTATGGTCGAATTTGCGTTGGCGATGAATGAATACAGAGATGGAGCAACAGCTGACAATCATAAGACTAGAGCACGAGCGCGGGCCTGAACTCAAAAGCTCGATGAAGATGAGGCAAGGAAGGTGTTCGAATTTTATGCATTGCACAGTAATAGTAGGCGGTTAGTTGATTGGTTGGTCGCGAGATAGATAGAGATGAAAAGAAGGTTACTTGCTGCTGCAGCACCAGCAGACTTTTGTCACTTGAGGATGAATGGATCAACATAACTGACAACGATCATTTTACATTGTGTTGTTAGATTGATCTATTCGCTATTGTTGTTGTTGTTGTTGTTAGAGCAAGGAAAGTCCTTCAATTTGAGAAGCCTTTCATTAATTAGTCTTTTTATTGGAGTGGAACAATAATCAGGATTGAAGAAAAAACAACGCTGTTGCTGCTGCCATTCATAACATTTGCCGTTTATATAATAATTGAATTGACGATATTGAGGCTAACTCAATCGATGACCAAACAATTGCAGAGAGCTTTTGATCTCTTTATCAGCAGACTGATTCATGAAATTTTTTTTCTTTTAGCTAACTCCATCCATCCGTATGGATGCATTTTAAAAGTCAAACGAAACAAAAACTGAGTCCGTTGGCTATTTGTTTGTTATTAAAAAATTTGCTCACAATCATATGTCGAAAAAGAAGAACCTATCATAAGTTTCTTTGTTGAATTCTATTACAAACACTGATAATAAAATAACATTGAAAACTTCGTTAAAAAAACTACAATTCATCATTTCTCCTCACTTCAATAAGCTTCTCAGTAGACCACAAAAGTTATGATAAGCAATAAATATTATTAATGGGATAAAAAACAAAAATGATTCTTCCTCCCACGTAAACGAGCAATAATCAACTAGTGCAGTACCACTCGAATGTTACTCAAAGAACAATCTAATTACACTAGCATCGTTCATTCATCCAACAACAACAAACACGTACCGCTGAGGATTTGAATGTTTTCATGTGAAAAATGAATAAAGATGATGATGATAAGAAAGTGACATTGATGTTCGGCAAAAATGTAATAAGATCTTGTAGAATAAACAATGAAAAGAGAGGAAAATCCGGAATAACTCTGCAATTAATACTTTGTGTGATCAGCACTGAGAATATTTATTGCGTTATTAAAATAGGTGCAAATTTTAACGTACTTTCGGAATATTCGTTGAATCTGAACCAATGCCCGAATCAGTGCTATTTGCAGGCCGATGAATTTCAGCGTATTCAACCGATATGCCGTCACCGAGTAACGATTCGCTTCGATCTGAATAAACGTTCGTTCAAGGAGAAAATATGAACAGAGCAAATTAAGATTTCTTTTAATTAGTGTTAAAATGCTTCGACTGATCCCAATTGGACGGACGTGTATGACATTATTGAGGGGCATTACGAACTGGCAAGACTGACGAAAGTTTTTATCGACAATATTTTAAATCGATTCAGATTTGTGGTAGTTTCATTTTTATTGGTGAAAATTTGATCATTCAATGTGAACGCATAAAGTTCAAGCGAACGATTCAAGATGATAATGAAATTATTGACGACAACACAAGTACTTAACGATAAGGCCCATCATTAGTGCTCAACACGAACAGATGAATGAACAGAGATTAAGGTAAAGTTGAACGAATAGCTACATTCCTAAACATAAAGATGATAACATTTCTAGCAGATTTCCTTCGTTCCGTAAATCGTTGCATAATGAAAACATTTAATTACAACAAATACACACTGCTGTAGCAACAACTTGTTTTCGATAGATTTTACATAGAACCATCAATGAATTATTTGCCGGTCGAGTGAAACGAAATATAATAAATGAATTAAATTACACACGACCAATTAGAAGAAGTACTAAGAAGCAAGTTTGGATTTGAAGTGCTGCCGGATAATTCGCACTCCGTAAGAGCATCATTACGCTCAGCTCGTATTTGGAATTGTTTCAAATCGTAGACATTCTAACGGATTGCAAAAGTTGCTGATTTAAAACAACATAAAAAGCACATCTGCATAATATCTGTTGTTCGATTGAATATGAAGAAAAATTATAGATAGTTAACTGCGAGCGAGATCGATTGAATAGAGTGAAGCAAGACGTTTGTTTTTCACTGAACAGCAGCAAGAATTGATATGTGAAGCAAGCAATAATGAGGGATTGAGGGAGGATGAACGGTTTGAATCGATAAATATTTGGAAAACAGAATGGGCAATGAAAACTAATTCGCATAAATTTTCTTAAAACAACACCAAATGCAAATTCATCATTCAGTATGGAAAGAGACACCACAACCGAATCGCAATATATCTATGTGTATATAAAAAAACACATACATACGAATTCTCAAATGTTTTTATGTTTATATTTTCTGCACTGCTCACTTACTTAGTCTCATTCAACATAAGAAGAATAAACGGCTCATCGATCCGCTACGTGAAATACGAATGACGATTAAAGATAAACAGTTTTAATTTTAAAAAGTTTTGGTATATACTACTTGTTGAAAACCGAAACAATCAAAAACCACTTAGTGATGAAGTAATCAGACACTTAGTAAGTAATTGCAGTGCAAGAGGTCTGAGTACAGCGGAAATATCCATTCTGATGTCCATTCAATGAGAATAAACCAATTTCGCCGATGCAGTAGCTCAATTCAGACTTATTGATAATAGAATGAAACGTGCCGTTGAAATTTGTACAATACTAGGATTTGGCGAGGTGAACTTAATGAAACAACGCTGAATGATGCAATGCGTCGATGAAACAGTAGGTGGAACTTCACCAGGAATATTTGATGATGGAAAGACTGACTCGAATATACCGACCGAAACATAAGGACTATTTTTGAAATGTTCTTGAACTGCTATGTTTTGTTTTGGTGTATGAGAAGCGAAATATGATCCATACATCTATATGTTCAACCAAATTCAAGCATTCAGTTGTTCATATCGTTCACATCAATGTTTATCTGACTGCATAAATAAACGAAGAGACCAAAATAAGTACTTAAATATGGTTGTTAGTATAATATTAATAAAATGAACGCATTATAATCGCTGGGAAATGTTGAAAGAATATTCATTCATTTATCTCGTTTCATCGAAAAGCTTTCAACAGTTATAAAACGTTACTCGCCTTCTTCTTCTTTTTCAAAATTCTCGTAGCTATCAGCCCGCAAGCAGTTCGTAATCGATGTACGAATGGTGTTGTTCACGTTATTGATACTACTGTTATTATTATTGTTTCTATCACTGTTGTTTGATGGTGCGTCAGTTAAAAAAACGAATTCAATAAACGCTTCATTCTCGATGCTTTCATCTGAAATTCGATCGATTATTCAACAAAACTACAATGAATCTGCGATGGATTCAACTACTCTTCCAAGTATAAACACAAACACCAAATATCAATCACTGCACTGTTCAAAATGATTCTAGAGTAACCAGTTCTAGAATTTCTCAACAAATGAATCCATATAGAAACAACGACTGACCATTAAAAATACCATCCAATTCATCTTTATTAAATCTCAGCACAAATATTGTGCCATCGCGTTTCGACAAGTCGAATGTACACGTATTGAACTGACATCGAAAGAATGCGGAACGTTCAGAGATGTTCGTTCGTTGAAAACACTTCACCAATACATCACCACGGATCGGTAAATCGGCAGTATCAAAATTCGACCTTCCACCGCCAACTTCTCTGCAATAATACTACTCATTAATTATCTTGCATTCTCTCCAAACAACCCTTTTTCAATGCTTATTGCATGCAAAACTATTATATATGCACCGATACCTATGCGTGTTATCGTTTGCAATGCAAATTGGCACCTTCGATAAGTGCATTTCAATATTTGCAAACGAATTCCATTTTTAGTGTGTCTCTTCTTAATTCAGTCACTATGCGCTTCAAATTCCACATATATTTCATCGAAAAATACATCCATTCAGCAAATGATCATTTTTCATTGAGACTTCATTCTTCGGATAAAAGTGAATAGTAATTGCGTGATATCGTAACATTGGCAGTAATTATTTTGCAATCAAACAGAGACAATAATTGTTGCTATCAACTGAAATTGGCTTGAATTCTGGTCTCTTGAAAGAAAATACGATGAGAGTGGAGTATTTTCAATGCATTAGATGCATGAATTCATAACTGAAACAAACACAAGAAAATATTGATAAGTTTTCATCGAAAAGCACAAGCGAACTTAAGTACGAGTAGAAGAAGGAAGGCTATACAAGCTAGCTGTGAACAAGATAAAAGATCTTATGCCATAACAAGTGCCACTATATCTATTGTTGTTTGTTCGTTGACTGCAAAAGGTGCAGCAGTCAATCGTGTAAAATGCAGCAGTGTTTAAAGATATAGCCGAACAATAAATGAGAATTTCATTGACCGCCTACAAATCAAAATATCCGCAACAAGTATGAAATGAGATCACTGAAGTAATCGAGAACTCTCAATGAAGTTCGAGTTGTGTGTGCGAAACGCCATTAAGGTACTACTGCTTATACATTCACTCATATGATAATGATTTAGGTCGCTAATCGTGATGTTTCGTCCAATTTGCCTTCATTATCATTTTCAGCGTTCATTATCTTTTTATTCACACATCAAAATCAACCATACAAGACACTTTCATCAGTATTATATTAAAATTCACTCAAAAATAAATGAAAACTGAAAGTATGAGCGTAATGATATCAACGAGTAACTGGAGAAAAACACAATGGAATTGAAAAGGAGTGCATTACTCACAAACATACAAACGAACACTGGAAACGAATGTTTTGAGTTATCAGTATAGACTTGTAAGCCTTTGGAATATAGTCCAAGCAGCATTGATCATCATCATAGTAATATTTCACATTTTTGACCAGCACCGATTCTATTAGAGGAGTAGAATAAAAAACAACTCAGCATGCTTATTCTATTCATTTGCTTGAAACCTTCTTCTTCTTCTTTTGTTTTCAAAAATCGATAGCACTTTTTTGCGTTTTTTTTTTTCAAAATTCATTCAAACGCCAAACTCAATTTCGATCGACCACAAACAGAATTCATTTCTTTCATTATTTTAGCATCATTATTATCATCATCCAAACTTCCGAATTCTTAAATTTTTGCGTCTATTAATAAAGAAACTTGAGCACCACTTCAAGCTCTACAGATCATATCCTCAACGAACTCAGTCAAATTATTGAATTGTCATCTCGATTTGCACTCTGTATAAATGAAACATTGAAATGAATAAGTGGCCACAAATGTGACTGACTGGCTGCCTTGTCAGATAATATGGGCAGAAAAACAAACGTTATTGTTTCCAAGCGGACGGAAGGCGTTTCCAAACAACGGCAACAACAACAACGATAAGATGAAAGTGGATAAATGAGTTATAAGTGGATGAAGGATGCGGATTAAAAACTAAAATTTTAGAAGTGAATAATCAATCGACCAATATACGGAATAGCAGATAATGTTGATGGATGCGCATCGAGATGAGAACATTCTCAAGCATCCTGATCATTTGAACGTATGAATTGCCAGATGTAGAATATAATGTTAGAAAAGAAGAACTTATTGACAAAAATCGATCATTTTAAAAGCACGATAAACCTTTCATCTTGTTTCTTAAAAGAATCATAATCGACTTATCTTGTTATCTTAATTTGATTTTGTACTTACTTCATTAAGTAATGAATAAATTCACTGATAAGAAGAAACATTGCTTGAATGACTTAATTTGATTGATTCAAACTATTAAATAGAAACATAATTCTGTATATGCAATGGAAATATGAGTGATTTAGTGGATGGACTGATGCAATTAGGGCGAATGAAGCATAAAACTGCTTCAATGTTATTATTGAAACACAGACACATGTGCGGGCATGTTGAGCAGAATACTTTTGCGATTCGATGAATATTCTTATTCTATCTTTATAATTGATTGCATTGAAGATTTTATATGAGATGAACTAACAACATCAATCATCAAAATATAAGAAAACGTGAAGAACCAACGAATCAAAAATTTGATGATAAACACAAACAAAACATACGTAAGAGGTGTTGTATAGACGGGTTGCATTCGTTCGTAGATTTTCAATAAAATGCTTCGAGGCGAAAAATTACAAAATCGTATTTGATGTAAATAAATTGTTGATGGATTGATTTTGATACGACCTGATAATAATGAAGCGAAATAATTCACATAGCTGAAAAATGAGAAAATTAAATTAGTGATGAGAATTTTTGAATATATCTATAAAAATTTGTGGTATCAATATAGATGAAGATGAACAATTGAGCATATCGAATAAAAGTACCGTTTATGTGACGGTTGTCCATCGTTACCAATGAAACGTTCACTGAAACGTTGCATTGCAAAACGATCCGAGATTGACTCCTCACTGAAACAGCTACGAATGAAAATTAAATTAATTTTTTTAATGGACTAAACGAATAACGAAACTGTTTCTTAGTCCTCAACCGCTCCATGCCACGCTCTTACTATTCATTCGTTCAGTTGCGTGAAATACTGCCGTATATGGGCAGAGAGTGCATTGGCCATTGGTTGGTTGAAATTTGCTTGCGATAAGTTGACAATGAACACAGCAATCATTTGAAATTATAACGAACATTCATAAACACATCATCAAGATGAATGAACTCACGAAGAACATATACTAATGTAGTGCATATAAGCAGCAATAACAATCGCGGCTCGAGAATATCCACCTTTACAGTGCACAACGATCACATTCTCGCCAGACACTGCTAACCAGTTCTCGAACATTTTACAAATGGAACAAAGACGATCGAGTGGCGGCGACAGCTCTTGAGGCCATCCCAACTCAACGACTGGATGCAATCGACCCAAGTCACTTCGCTTTTTCGATACGTTGAAAATCTTACAAATAAAAGCATCCGATAACATCAAATGAAATTTTTTTCATTACTTTCCGAAGTGTCAATAACAAGCAACAGCACTAGGGATAAAAGTATCAATTCGTTGTTAAACTGAGGATGAATCATGATCAACCTTAAATCTTCATCAAATGAATTTGAGTGAACACAAACCTTGTAATGTTCTGGATGATTTCTCCTCAGAATAACTGTAGCATCTTTGAGACCAGTCCGGTACTGTGCATCTGTACCATCCGAAGGGAACAGCGTAGCTATAATTGCAACGATGAACTAAGCTTAATCAATGAGACAGCCTCAATCAAAAGTGAACTGTATCAGTATCAATGTCAGTCTCAAAAGTGAAGCAATAACAGTATCATCAGTAACTGTTACCAAGTATTCTAATGACATTCATGTAATAACAATATGATAATGTTTTTTGTTCATGAAGAAACAGTGGCTTAATTAGAAATGTATGCTTATTAAATGTAAAACTGATAGGAAATAACAAGCGAAAATACGTAACAGTGATGGCATCTGACCGACGGATAAATTCGACAATTTCGGACGAAATTTCGACTGTCAGAAATTCAAAATGTCAATTCGATCGAATTCCGACCGGACAATTCCGAAAGTCGGTCGAAATTTCGATTGTTCGAAATGATGAAAACTCATGTCGGTCGGATTGTGAATGTCGGAATTATCATTTTAGGATTTATACTTTCTTTGGGCGTCGATCAGTTGGTGGCATCTCGGATTCACCCAAAAAAAATGTGAATTCTAAACTGATAATATGGTGATGTAGTATGAATTGCAAAAAATTTTATGACGTTATAATCATTTGCTTATGTGCTGAATGCGAAAGACGTTTCATTTCGTTCAGAAGTAGGTTACTATGATTCGTCTTGTTTGCTCATTAGGGTCAAATGATCAATGAACTATCGTTGCGCTGGTCAATGAAAATCGTTCGAAACAGTTGTTTACAAAAAATTGATTATTTTTATTTGATTGTTACTATTGCGTGGATAGACTACGCAGTTAATTCGAAATAAACTTAGCTCGAAAATCTTCACAATATTATCTGATATGGGATGGTTCAATCAAAGACCAATGCAATGACAATGATAACTCCGAAAATGAAGTTTCATCAGCCCTCTAAATAATTATGCTATCGACGGTTCACTCATCAAGATATTTTATTTTGCAACAAATAATATGTATGCATATCTGAATTCTGAATCGATAACTATTGTTGATGTTGCACGGAAAGGTCAGCAGAGAGTAGAAAATGATGAATTAAGAAGTGAAAATAATATGCGTTAATTATCGAATTTGCAATAAATGAATAAAGATGCACACGCACACACCAATGATTCGATTTGTGATATAAGCTAGTTGCATATCGAGTCCGGGTAAAGCACCACCAGGCGCTGTTGCTGTTGCAGATGCAGCTTTTGAGATGGTTGAAGTGGACGAGGCAATGATATCTGTGGTCGTTGAATGGCGATTCGACGACGATGCTTCTGCTCGTGGTGATTTGGTGGTATTGCTAATGCTATTAAACTGCTGAAAATGTTGTTTTCTCTTTGATGGTTATTGTTATTAATACACAGTTGTTGCCATAATAATTGATCTATGAACGCATTTGCATTCTCTGAAAGATATTTGATGGGAAGACGAAAGGATTAAGAGGAAGGAAAAGGGATTTATAACAACGATGCCAACAACAACAAAAGTGATAACATGTAATGGGAACAGTAGTGATAATAATAATAATAATAATATTGTTAGTATTAAAAAGAATGAACTACTGCAAATGACAATGATATTGATAATAATGGTGATAACAGCGGCGATAATAACATTATTAGCAAAAAATTTAACGATATGACTATGACGAGTTGGACGATCAATACAGCCAGCAGTTATCACAGCGCTAGAATTGTATTCATTATGCATTCTTCAAAGCGAATCAATCTTATTTTACAACCGACATTCAAGCGATCCTTTATATGAGATCTTTCAGGATGGTAGTATCACCGAACGGCTTCTTCTCTTCGTTATAACAGACGAACATTCGGTCAATATTCATTCTTTCGTTGCATTTACTCATCCATATCGCTTGCCTCTTCCCTCATTCCTCCTCCTTCACCCAACTGACCAACTGTTCTACCAGAGATTGTTACTAATACTTTACTACTGCATCAATTTATAATGTACTTCTACGATCATATTATTTCTCTTTACATTATTCTTCTTTATAGAAATCATTCATTCATTATAAAGTGAATTTGAATACTGTTACAAAACAGTAACGAATTTGTCGCTGCTTACTAAAGCGTTGAAGTTTTACATGCACCTTATATTATTTTAGGTACACGTTTTAATATTTTCTAGCATAGTGGTTGTCATCGTCGGCAACTGGGAGGAATTTGGGGGTGTCAGGGAGAAAATGGAAATGTAGGTAATTTATTGTCCACTGATTTTTTTCCATAATTATTCCATAGTTGTTCGGAAATGTTTTCAAAATGCTCGTTTCAACACAATGATTTGATCCTTCCAAACAATCGACAAAATTTCGGCGGTAAACTCTTTGACCAATTGATCAATTTTCTGATTTGCCGCTCATAAGTCAGAGAAGAAAGGGAGAAGGAACTGCAGTTTGCCGTATGGCCGAAGGGGAGCACGGCGCACAAGCGCATAAGAACCATCGTTCTAACAGCTTTTCCGCGTCAGTGCTAATGGCATTCAGTGGTAACAATTGATGTTGTAATTACATTAAAAAGCAACACCAAAAGAGGGAAATAGTACAATGAAGCTAAACGAAAACAATAATGTTGACAATGGAATAAAAAAAAGCAATGGTGATAATATCTTTATCGTGTCACGATTTCCATCTAATACAAAATATTATAAATTCCATTTACGTGGCACTACAAAAAACAATCGGCCAGTAAACTATATCACAATACCGGTTGTCATCAAATTAATCACAATGATGTTTGAAAAGTGCATAGAGAACAAGCTTAGATTGTGATTGAAAATAGGTGAGTGATTAATTCTTGGAATATTTATCAATTGATGACTGATCATAAAATATCTTTCGTTAATATCATGAACGTTCACTCATTGATATTGATTTTTATAATAATAAACATGTGAATTCCATGATATGATCGCATCGATTCACCTAAATTCATTGTTCGGAAACCATCAACTAGACGTGTTTATGATGAACAACATAAAAAATCAATCAATTTGCACAACTGAATGCCAACAAAACGTTATAATTTCATTCAGAAACAATCGCATTATGCTTCAGGATGACAACGGTGCACATGAATAATGAGTACATGCACAATGGAGAAGCGATGCTGATACAACAGTGCTAATTGAATTGCTTGCTGTTTCATTTGTTGGCTTGTGTGCACCTCAGTGGAACGTTTCTGCGAAACGACCAAGGTTTTTGTGGTGTATGCATTCTCATCTTAATTTCGAACGATGATCCAACAATTCGAGAAAACCAACGATTTATTCACTCATTAAAATCATCCACTAATTCGATCGTTCAAATTGGTGATCTCCAGTTCTACCCAATGGAAGAAGATCAACCTATCACTTCTAGCAATCAGCGATCGTTTCTTTTGTAGAATTGATAATTTTTATTTTTGCATTTATTCCATTCTATGATTATTGGTATACGCAATGATTAGGAGGTGAGGTAAGTCACATTCCTCCAAGAAAAGCATAGGAAAAAATCAAAAATTTGGATAGTCGGTTGGAATAGAGGTGTAATTATTGCCATATATTTCTACCTGGTCCACAGAACGATTCACCATTACTTTTAAACTGAAACTAGTGGAGGCTCATATTGAAAGAGTCATCCCCCCTCCTCTTATTGGAAACCAACTGCAACATCCCTCCCTCCCCCCCCCCTCTTCTTTCACCGCCAATTGCAAAAAAATCCTACCACTGTCTATGATCATGCACAAACGAGCGAGCAAGCAAGCGCTAATTTCGCTCAATATCAGTTATACCTGATAGAAACAAGAAACATTGGCAGCATCATTGAAATTCTTTCGAACAATACAAATATGAACGTATTTTCTAGCCGATGCTATGTTTTATGATATTTTTGCTTGATGCGGTCAAGTGATTGATGTAATATTAGCCGTCTAGCGATAGCTCACGAATATTGCTTTGTATGAAATGATGATGATGAGGGTAGCATAACAACTTTTCGCTAATATAAGTAGTAGTATTCTTTTGATGAAAAGAACCCACAGAGTTAATTATACATTTGAAATGAAGTAGAATGATGGATGCATACTAAACGGTTGTGGCAATTGAAAAGAGCAACAGTAAATACTAGTAAGCACCAAAAATGAATCACTGAATGAAGGTTTCGAGTGAAAGTTCCATTTAAATGAACAAAATGCTCAAGAAGTTAACCGCATAACGATCATCAACCTAAGAGTTAAAATGAGAATCAAAATAAGAATTAATAGCAGCGTACTGAATTCGAAAACATTCATTTACCGAAATTCATTTCCTCGCACAGTCTAGAAAATTTCAAGATGTCCTCGCACTCCCTACAACAATACTTAAAATCTCTTCACACCCCTTAAGACACCCACTATGTACCTCTCATCCACACTACAGTTAGTGTCCATAGTCTAGATAAGTGAATACCATCAGAATACGTTCTAGCCTTTTCAAAAATTTACGTTCAAGTCCATCGTCGCCTACTTTACGCACACTTATGCGTTGAACTCTGTCCTCGCTTACTTTAAGTTATAAAACCTTACCTCGCACCCCTTGGAATACCATCTCGCACTCCCAGTTGAGAAACCGGGACTTAAAGCATACAATTAACGATTAGTAGTGATTACCTAATAACAATCACCCAATAACAAATTGCCTTATGAATGATAACCTAATAACAAATCGCATTCACTCCTTATTGATCAATCAGCAGCAGTAGTAATGTATATGATTATGTAATATAATATGATATGATTATATAACAATATATTAAATAACATTTCAAAAAAATAATATGAATGATCATTTAAAAAATGAATGAATGAAAATGCTTTGTGAGGTTATCATTAAAAGCAATAAACATTTCGAGTGATATTTTATTAATGATTAATGCTGAATTCTAAATTCAATTGTACCAAAAACTGTGAAATGATGAATCAGCGAACATTAATAATGCAACAACAACAATAACAACCGCGATAACAACATTGGGGCTATCGAATATTCCTAGGGGCATTGTCTATAAATAATAGGACGAAGGAACTATCAGTATAGAAGATAACAGCTGCAGAGCAATAGTTGAGCATCAGACAGCTAACAGCATTTGTACATTCGATGATACTAGTTGGCTGCTGTTCCTAACAAAAGAGAAACCGCATCATAGCGCATTAACCAACCGAATGAAATACACAATTGAATATCTCGAATTAGCATTTCTTTGCTCACCAACAAACGTCTCGTGCAAAATTCAATTTGAAAAGCTCAAATTTCTCCTTTTTCTCTTAATAACTCGTCTTAATAAGTTTTCAATAATTATGACTGTTCAAAAAAGTGACTGCAACAGTGTGATTGAGGAGTGCAAGCGATGGCAGTGTAACAACAATTATCGCACGGTGGTGGTGCCACCGGTGATTGACGTTGAATTGGTTGAACAATAAAGAATTCTTCAGAAACAATCATACGTCTAAACAGCTCAACATCCATCTTTCCCTTAACAAACCAAATTATTCTTTTTTTCCTTCCCCAATCACTGGGTTGCTAAAAACTATTTGCATTCAGTCGTTTGCGTTGAAAACAGATGGACGGCGTTTATAGAAGAAAGATGTGCGATAGCAAATGTAAGTAAATAGGTTTATGTCCCGTACATCTAATGAAACAGTCCATGTATCTACTTGCTCTCGTCTATTCGTTTTAGTGAGGAATAAATGAGGAAACTTTTGCAAAGTGTTTACTGTTTCACTCGGAACGCTAGATAAAATGCAATACAAAACAAGGGAACACGTCTTTGAACGATATGCAAATTCTTATAAACAGGAGATTTGTTGTAGATCTTATTGTCATGAGAGTATAATTGTAATAATAATGATGATAATAATAAGAATAACTAAAAATAATAACGACAAAAAAATAATCCCACCAACAATAGAAGTTCCGAACGAAATAAAAATGCCAGCTAACAGATTATACTGCTGCTGCTACTGTTGTTTAATACTTGATTGATTTTTGTCTAAATTGATGTTACAATCGCAATCGAGTGGTATTCAATGAATGGATTAAACGGGAAATGACAATCTATGAAAACAGCAAATTTCACTTCGTTCCCTTATTCATGGCACATAAACCCGTCATCGCTTGAAATTCCTTTATCTATTCATCTCAATTTCATACTTGATCACGTCAGTCCAAAAGTTTTAAAACAGTGATTTAATTTGGATATGCACAGATTATTTTGATAATTGTATATAACTGATGAACACGGCTAATTTCAATCTGAAACGCTTTCTGAATTTTCTGTAGTGATTGGTTTTTCGAGAACAATTTGATTATTATTAGAAATGGGTGAGATTGACTGCTGAGGGTTCATTAATTATTTGGCACTGGAAGGACTGAGACGAATGAGACTCGCTAATGATTACTCGATATATACTAAGATTGTACCCTATCGATGGTAAAATTTGCCTCCGAAAAACTAAGTTCGAACACAAGAGATAATCATCCAATGGTGTCGTCAGTAGAAAGTATTGGTAAATGAGGGAAGTGCATAAAAAGTATAGATTCCGATTAGGGACGTTAATGTCGATGAAATGAGGATAATTTGGGTGCATATGAGGATTACTTAAGGTGTGATTTGATTTGAGGATAACTTAAGACGGATGACCACTCTGTTTCACATTTTTAGTAAACTATTCCGTTCTATTCTGCCCTTCAACTGTCCTGTTCTGTTCTGTTCTGTTCTACACTTCAACGTTGTTCTGTTCTATTCTACCCTTTGAAGTAAGTTGTTCTGTCCTCTATTTTCACATTTTGTAATTATTTTGTTCTTTTCCGCTCCCGCATCTCAAAATTTCAGAGCTGTTCTGTTCCCTTAAGGTTACAGAAAAGTGAAAGAGATGACAATAGCAATTATAACAATTAAGCTTGGAAACGAAGGATATTTCAGCAGGCAAGACTGTAAAGGAAGGGTTCCGGACGGTGAAAGGCTACCTCTACAGGAGATCCCCGTTTTTAGGAAGGAGAGAAAGAAGTGAAGGGAAAAAGGGAGATTTCCAGATTTTGCAGTCGGGACCTTTCAAAGAACTAAAATATCCTAATCATCAATCTCTGGATGCAAACTAGTTATGACGAGTGGAGATTGGTCTTTCGGTTTAAAATTTACGGTCTTTCGCGGGAAGTTTATTCCGACTCGCACGACTATGATGTTTGTCTTCCTATTCAATCGAGAGAAAACTCTCTAAATTGAGCAATATCAATCTGTTCTTCACATTCCTTAAATGTAAATGACTCCATGCTTACTTGCACGTCATTGATAGTAAGGCGTCGGAACTCGAACCTCGGTCCGGATCGTTGCTTAATTGAAGCACAATTTCTCAGAGTGATTAGTTTATAATGAATGATTTGTTTGAATGGACTCAATTCTTCCGAGCGCAAACTTTTATTGATGGATTGAAATGTGTATGGTTTCTATGAGGGATTGTCGTTCGAGTTCAGTGCGTGACCAAGAAGTGGGAATAGGATAAGTATTCAGAGATTCGAGGAACAACGCTATGAGGGAATTACTGTCAGCATTTGAGCATTAACCACTGTGACCTGGTTGTGATTCAGCTGTTTCCTATCTCATTGATGGCTTTCCTCATGAAACCTGATCTCTAACAAATTCCACTAGCGAATTAGGTGAAAAACAATTTCTACTATATCCCTTCTCCCCTCCATGAAATAATAATAAGATATAAATCAACAGACAAAACTATAATCAGATTATTTATGAATATTTATTGGCACTATTAGACTTCACTGACGTTAATCAATTAACGAAATTCCAAATTCACAACTTAAAGAAACTATGATATGATATAATTACTGATATTATATGATCATCAGCATTTTATTCTGTTAAATATACTTACTCGATGATTGGTACGTAGAAATAAATCAAAAAGAAATATTACAAAAAATTGAGCCCTGGTGAGTGGGTTTTGTTAAACAACATTCATCCTATCGCCGCATGCGGCAGATTGCTCGAGCCGTAACTTACGAACAGATGTAAACCCACAAGAGTTGATCGTCTACTATTATATATCCGACAGGCTAATACTACTGATGAATTTGCAAAACGATTTTTGAATCAGGCGATCCAGTCTAATATGGTGTCTAACCAATAACAATAACCAATCGCTATTGGCCTATTAATCAGTTTTAATGCTAGTAATAAATCATGAAAGCATAAAACAATATCCAGTCGATACAGTTCCTTATGAAGTCTTCGATAGTCTCATAAAGGGCTTGGTAAGCACATGGCAATGATTGAAAATAGTGACTTTTAGTTGATGATTTGTCACGAATATTAGTATACATCCATTTATCAAGAGCACCTCTGTCAAGAATATCAATCATAATGAAAGGAGACAGTGCCTATCTTCCTTCCCGTTTCATCTCTTTGATCTCAACAAACATTCGAACGTAATCATCAAAACTTCTGCGGTCAATAATCTGCATCCATGCAAAGTGAAAGCATGCAAACGTATGAACGGACAGTGCAATTATTTGTTCGTTGCGCTTAAGATAAATTACAGGATAAAACAATATTTACGATTTATGTAAGGAACTTTATCAACTGTTTACAAAATACCATATCTATCGATCAGACCATTGTTTAGATCAATGACGGTGAGGGATCAATTGTTGTGATAATAATTCGAAGAAAGATGATAAAAAATTGGTACCTACCTGCGGTCGCTGTTTTTGTGGCATTCGGAAGCAGAACATGACTGAAGTTCAGTCAGTGATAATCAGTCGTTTATAAGCGTATTTATTAGTAAATTAGCAACAGTGGTAATTTAGAATTAATTTCCAAATCGATGATATCAGTGCATTAAGTGGCAAATGTTGCGAATGAACGATTACTGAGTAGTGGTATAATCACAAAAGAAATTTCAAATTTTTGAATGCAATAGAAAATTTAGAAAATATTATTATTGCTGTTGATTGATTGATTGATTGACTGATGGGTGAATAAAGGAAGAAATTTTTTGGACAATATTGACAATAATAATGAATTTCTGCAAAAGATGAATAAAACAGATATACAGATATAGATGAAGGCGCAATATGAAATCAAATCATTCAGCGATACTCGTAATACAATAATGCACTACTAGCGCACCTCGTTCAAAGCACCTTCTCAGGTTAATAATAAGAAAAGAAGTATGGTTCGCTCGTTTCTTCTCTCTTGTACAATAAGAAATGTTCCTTCATCCACAAACAAAGTCGTTCTTTTTTCTCTAATGTTACTATTACGAGTTGATCGAACGATCTGACTGTAGTTGCTCAAGTTAAGGCGCATTAAACGCGACACCACAGCACCCATTCAGTGACAATCATTTTACACTGCTCGTCTTGTATCTATAGTTCGGTTACGCTCTCTATTTGAAGATTACAATATAATGCGAAATCCGCGGCTGTATCCATCCGTATGAGCATTAACTAGTAATCATTGCGATGTGATGACAACACTGTGCTTGCTCATTTCATACTATCTGGATATTGTAGACTGACTGTAACGAATTGTGTTGCTGAATAAACGACGATAGATATACTATAATGGAGAGGAGAAACGAAACGAAGTGAAGGATAGATAGATATGGAATAATATCACTGCATTTATTCTCGTAATACTTTTTGTGTGAACCAACGTGTAGATTGTTGAGGACAACTTTCAACATTGTGACGATGATTCAACCTGATTCGAAAATAAACAACAGCAGTGCTTTTTGGGGCTCTGATCCGTTGTGTTCACTTCAAATAATTTCCATTGTGAACACTCAGTTTATAGGCGTAATTTAAGAGGCCGATTGACTGTTGTTCTGATGGTGTTTTGATAGAATGAAGCATTATGAGATGACCGAATAAAGTGAGATTGGATCGGGTTCATTCAAGCTGCTATGATAAACTTTTTTTGTTGTTGAATATTTAACTTGTTAGTGCTAACAGATATAAATACTGGCATCGTAAGTTTGCAAAGAAGACGTTAACAGATTAAAGATCATCAGATTTGTTGTTTGCTTTGAGTGAGGATGATGATGACGATGCTTCTCAGCATGCAGTCAGCTCTGTTGTGCTCAAATAGTTAATATTATCGTTTACGTCAATTCAGTGGATTTCATATTGTACCATACATATATATACACAATAAGCGAGCGAATATTTTAATGTATACACATAAGATTTTGTTAGTAGCGAAGCATCTATCTGCCCTAGTGCGGTACAAGAGCAGGGCATGGTTCGTGAATGGTAAAGCATTAGCCAGTTGCTGCGTTTCATACATTCAACAACATGTTACATCCCATAAAGCTTATTTCTTTATACGTTTGAAGAAAGGAATGGATGATGATGGATGGATGAAATTTAAGCGAATATCATCATTTGGGTGAAGTGAATAGAGAAATAACCGAATAACTTGTGCATGTAAAACGGTTGTAATTCACATGTAAGCTGCAATAGAGCACATCACTGCTGCTGTTGGTAAGTAATAAAATGCATAAATGACTGACTGGAACTCCTCTACATGAGCAATTACTGCAGTTATATATTATCTTGAAAGTGAACTAAACCACCACAAGTGCACGATAAAATCTGAGTGGAAATAACAGTGGAGATAGTGATGAATAAAGAAATGATACCTGACGCATCATTTATAGTAATAACACAGATTCTGCTATGAGGAATGGAGTAATAAATAAAGAAGTGCCCAACTCTTTTATGACTGATCCTTAAACTTGGTCAGTTGTTCTTCGACTGGTGCTCTAGATTTGGGTATGAATGGTTGCACTCATCTTGAGCTCACTAATTTCTTCTGACCAAACAAGAAGTGAAATGAATGAACGAACCGGATATGTTAAAATTGATGAATGCAAATGTGGCCAGTTGATTGATGTACTGCTGATGTACATGGAATTACTTCGATACGCTACTCGTGGACGATATGAGCAGTTAGTGGTATGATTATTCGAGATTGTTGACGATGAAAATAGGTATGATGGGATAAAATTATGCCAAGGATAAGTTTGCATTGGTGGCATTGATAATGAATTAAAGAAACGACGCTGCGATGAAACCGAACGCTTGGTTCGGCTTCGCATACGCACCTTTGGCTTGTCTTCGTCGTTGTCATCCGCTTCTGAGGGCATTTCAAATTTCACCTTTTTTGGTGTTCCCATTGTTTGAGGCTCAGTTCGATTGAATTGTTAATTTTGATTGAATGATTAATTGATTGACCGATCGAATTCTGCAACTTATGAAGTGAGCCATCAATATCGTCACTTTGATCTATCATAGTTACGTTGTTGTAATCAATTAATAGGAATGAGTGAAGAAATTCTTATATGCATAGGTAAAATAAAAAATAACACATCACACCCGTACAAAACAAAGCATTCGAACTTTGATTTATCCCGTATTAGTTTAAGAAATGTTGCAATAATTTCAACACAAAACTCTAGGCTTGATCTGTTGTTGTCAGCATCGGCATAAATGCGGTTGTGCATGTATACGTTCTTTTCCATTACCCTCTTCAACTTATTATTAATCCACAAAAACAGGATCAATCCACAAATTCGCAGGTTGCATGTTACTTGTTCCCTAATATTCTTAATTGTTTCATTGTTCAGTTTCGGTTTCCATATAATCTAATCATATTTTTGTGTTGTCATGCATTTTTGAATGTTAATTGACTCGAACATAAATGTACAAATGCGCCATAATTATCGTTATCAAAAGTGTACGAAATATATACACAGCAAAGGATTGTTTGAAGTATTTTAATTGAATTACACCCGAAACGGAATTGATGAATTCTGTAGTATTAATAGTAAAGTGATAATAATAGGGGTATCATTTGCTCTTTCAAAATAACGAGTTTCAAATTATTTTGATTTGTTGTTAAAATAGAAGAAAACAGAGTGGAAGTTGAACAAATAAGTACGAAACAAGGAGCACATTAAATAAAAATAAATTTGATATCGATGATGCAAAAAAAAATCCCGTTTCATTACGGTTACATTTACATCATTATTATCAGTGGTAGTATAGTTGCTATTATATTCATTATCAGTATGACTATCATCGCTAGCGTTGTTATCAACATTATTATCATTATTACTATTATCACTAATACAATATCATTTTTTTCATTACTATTGTTTTTATTACTGCTCTTACTGATAATATGTTTATGATTAATATTCGCACAGAACTAATGGAATAAAAGTTGAACATTAGAACACTGTAAATAGAACAAAACGAATAAAAACAATTTGTAAATTAAAGAATATGCAATAGAGTTTGGTGATTGCCAAATCCTTTCAGAGCATCCTCTTGCAACATATCATCAGCGCTATGCTCATTATCATGCACACAGTACTGTGCATTAAGATGATATAATTATTAGCACTGAAACGATGAAATACGATGAAATTTATCAAATCAAATAAACACAAGAACATATGATTCAAATAACAGTTGTGTGCACATTGCTCACACGTTCACAAACAGGCCAGTAAATCTATGCATCCATCCATCGAAAAATCTTAAAAGCAATCACCTCAAACAACTTTCAAGAAAAATGAAATGAAAATCATCTTTGTTAAATTTACATTTCTTACATACATCTTCACAGTTGATTCATTCAGCCATTCCCGAATCCTTCATTCATTGTATGACATAACATTGTTCGTGGAAAAAAAGTGAAGCAAAAACGTAGGGTGAGACCGATAGCAAGCATTGGCAATAGCAATAAACCACATAACCCCCCCCCCTCCCCTCCCCCAAAAATGAATAAATAAATAAAAGAGAACTTGCAGGAATGTTTTTTAAATTCAAACGACCTCAGATATTTTAAAATGAAAAACTGAATTCTTCATTAATGATCAGTGCACATGGCAGAATCAATGATGTTACAAAATAAAATTGATAAGAGAAAGCTATTATGACAGAATAAAGTAGAATCTGGTGAGGCAGCAGTAACCGCAGCTGCAAATAGGCCATCAGTGAAAGAACTTAATTCAATTATCGTTCTCACAACACCAAACAGTGATAAAACGGTCAAATTCACGACGAACACTCATCAATCTCATGTTATTGCCTTATGAGATTGATGCATGCAAGGGATTGATTATTCTTCGATTTTGTTGCATTCTTTCTTTTGTTTAGTTGTTTCATAAAACAATTCCGTCGTCTATATCAATCATAAAAATAATAATAATAATGGTAATAATAATAAATGTAATAACAATAAATAATAATAATAATAATAATATTAACAGTGTTGAATTACCAAAGAAATAATTTTCATTAAAAAAGCGGTCGACTACTGATCCACGTTTCGATTTGATTGCGTATGTTCGATTCCATTAATCAAATCAGGTATCGAATGATCTTTCACAATTTGCCGAATGCAAGCAGCGATGTCAAGAAATGATGAGCATACAAGTTGTTTGCAAATGGTACTCTGTATTCCTATATGAGGCAATATACTTGATGAAATGATCTCAGTGATTCGCTCTTATCCACTCGCAACAATACGAAATCTGCTGAAAGTGATCATATGAAAAGCAACTCCGTTCCCACAGTGAGGAGATAGATACTTGTTTTGCTGATTTGGTTTTATTTTTGCATACGAACATTTCCCTTCTACGACATCGGTACTTTTGTTGCAGCTTATAAACCGCTCTCTTCAAACATCGAATGTGCTGAAACCGATGATAATGATCCTCATATTCCTACCGCAGTGCATTTTTGATCTATTGAGAGATCGAACATATAGGGTTAGGCGACCGAACAGAATCAATCGCCTATTCAAATGATAAACCTTCGAAGAAAATGCTTGGAGATACGCATTTTCAAACAACAAAAAATGTATTGTTCCGATAACTCAAGTCTTACTTCACTAAAGGGTTTCTGAAATGAGAGTGCTGCACTCATTCCAGGTGCAAGACAGTATTGCACAGGGTGCGAGAAAAGACTCCATTTGTTTATAAACTGAAGTAAGCGAGGGAGGGCTTCAACGCTTACTTTAATGTGTATTACATAAAGTAGGCGAGGGTGGACTTTGACGCAGGTACGTATTTTTGAAAAGGTTTCATGCATCTATGGAAATTTTTTGTGAGTTTATGCAGCTATTACTTTTTTTTTCTTTTCCAGATGATCACTTTTTACATATCATTAAAAGAATATTATGAAAAAACTCCCTCGGTTGCGTTTACATTTTTTCTTTAAAAAAACAATTTTTGTGAGGAGTGTAAGGATATTTTAAATTTTTAGGGGGTGCGGACGAAAACTAAAACAGTTGTGGAGCACTGCTCTATTGTAATAAAAAATAAATGAAGTGTTTTGTAACAACAACAAAAAACTTCTAATGCATTTATCATAGCTTTGAACCGTTCAAATGCTTGCTTGGATAAAATGATTGTCTAGAAAAATGATATTATTAATAATTACGATAGTAATAATAATGATAAAAATAATCTTCATAACAATAACAACAATAATAATAACAAAATTAATGACAACATCCACATGAGGCATCCAAAATGAATGCAGTGGATTCAATAACTGCACAGTGACGTTTGAAATTTGCGTTCGAACAACTGAATTATGAAAATACGAAGAAGCGAGAAGATAAATTGCCAGCAAAAAAACTGTGACAAATTTCAAGAGAATACAAAATAAATGAACAACAACAACAACACATTGGATAACAAGGTACGAACCAACCAAATATATATAATACACAACAAAAGTATTCATCAACTTCAGTTCTACCATTCAAATGGCTTATTATGAGAATAAATTTTCATGATTGTTTGCTCGTTGCTTCCACTACGCTCATCGTTACTGTGGAACCATTCAAGCGGCGCCCGCTCAATAGAAGTACTGCTTTGGCGGCTTCCTGCAATTCCATAATGAATATTTTTCAAAAACGAATCTAATAATAATTGAAAATATACCTGAGGAGTACCAACGGCTAGCAGGCATTCACCGGTTGAAATGCCATCATCATCGAGCTTTATTCGCACAGAGCTCTCCACCAACGAGAACTTGTCAAAGAACTGTGCCACATCCATGATAGTCACATCCGGTGGAAATCCATGGCAACTGATCACAGTGCCAGGCTCACCCAATGATGCCACCAACTCAGGATCCAATTCCTTCTGAACCAATAATCTATATTCAGCGATATTTCATTCCAGATCTGTGCTTGAGCTTAAATCACTACCGTCTAAAGCAATCACTAATTTTCGCATCACCAACTCTCTTCATTCAGCACAATGAACTTTAATAAAACCTGATCAATACTATGCTGTATGTCTTCGACCATCTTCTGATGTGTGATCAATGAAATTTGCACATTGTTTTTCTCTTTATCTGTCAGCCGACTGAATTTATCAAAGGCATTTTTTGCGTCATCAGCGTCACCCAAATCCACATAAACTTTTCCATCCGACAAACGCCGAATACTTGCTAAAATTGTGTCACTATAGCGAGCGAAAGTGATCAATGATATTACAAAATGTAGTAAGGTTCATTATGAGGATGACGACAATAATAATGATAATGATAATAACTATTATTGTTGTTAATAACAAAAATAATAATAATAATAATAATATCAATATTGATAATACAGAACTAGAAGTAAACAAATAACTGCTAATAAAATGTGTAGTCAAAAAGTCTCACTTGAATTGATGCGCGAAGCGTTAACAGCGAGAAGTTGAACGATATCAGACTCTTTTAAAGTGGATGAAATATTTTGTAGTAGAAGACAAGAGGTTTGTTTTGAATTAGCACTAGCAGCAGACGTTGTGGACGATGAGGACGGTAAGGAAGTAGTGGCAGTATTGTTCTTAGTATCGTTTTTAGATGGCGATATGCCGAGCGATGACCTCGACGATCCATTTGAATGGTGGTGTGATGAAGAGGTATCTACAGCTTGTTGTTTCACTCGAGCACTATTTGACTGTTGCTGAGATGGTGGTGGTCCACGCTGTCGAATCGTCGACGCTGGCGTTGCACCGAAGAACGACGGTGGACGGATCAAAGGAGCACGAGGACCACCTAAAATTCATCTTGTTTGTACAGTTTTTTGTGATGGTTCTTTCGGAAATAAGTGACTAATGGAACAGAAAAACATAACTTGTATTAGTGGATGACGCGGACCACAAAATCGTTGTGAAGGTAAACCACCCATGTTTGATGGTCCATTCATTGTAAAACCACCAGCAGGTCCATTGCCTATGAGTGGCATGCCACGATTAGGGGGCATACTATCATAATCCATGCCAGGACCGAATGGTCTCGGAGGTCCGGCACGACCACCTCGTCCCCTACCTGAGGTGATAACGAATGTTTTAAACGTGAAGATGACGACTGATTCAAATGTATGATCGAGTAAGTCACCGAAACAATCCAGAGAGGATGGATATATTACGACAGTGAAAACATTGCAGATTTAAACACGTTGACAAGAACTGATCAAGGATGAATGTTCTGAACTAGATGGAGTAGAAGCACCTGAGTAGTTGTCACGATGCGGTGCCGAAGGAGGGCCACTAGCGCTGTGATGAGCACGATCTTGTCTCGATGGGAATGCACCGAATTTATTATCGTTCGAGGCTGATCCATTCATTGATGTAGGCGGCATAATATTACTATTGCTTTCCCCTGATGAAGGTAGCACATCAGTGGTTCGTTCAAATGACGATGATGCTCCATGTTTACGTTCAAATTCTTCTTTCTTTTTATATCCAAATTTATCCGGAATTGATAAAAGTGCATCTGCTTCATCATTTGTCAATCTGAATCAGGATTACAATGAGCAAACGACGGCACTATTTTAATTTGATTAATCATTAGAATATTACAACATCTCATAACATGAAAACTTTATCTCTTCATACGGATTTGGTTGTAATGAAAAACTTCTCGTTGAACGAATACTTTCACAAATGAATGAATTGGCAAATTACCTCCGTGAACGAACAGTACGATCTTGGATTGAACCGCGCGTGCGATATGCTCGTTCGGCAAACTCAATCGATGAAAATTCTAAAATCCAACGATCCGATGCTTGAGCATCCTCCTTGAATGCTCTAGATACCTTCACTGGCTCACAGCGAGGACCAAGGAAACTGAACAGCAAAACAACTTTGCTTTTCAATGAAAATTGATTTTGATCATTCATTTATATTTCGGTTCACTGCACAGCTACACGAAATGAGAACAACCAATGTGGATATCAATATCGCATTGGCATTATTATTACTCCTAACTGAAGAGTAAACAGTAATTTCATATCAATTTAGGCATCCAATATTACTCACTTTCGAATTTCTGGTTCAGTGACCCGGAACGGAAGATTGGAGAACTCAATACAGTAACGATCTGGTTGTTCATCTTTACGACGTTTAATATCGCGATGAGCGATCGGAGAACGAGACGAACGACGCCTGATGGTTCGGTGCGCAGCAGGAGGAGTACGAGAACGACTATTTTGACTACTTCTGTGATCGTGGTCTATATCACGACGAGAATCTAGATCGCGCCGAGGATCCTTAAATTTTTATTGTTTATTCATTTTATTTACATTGCCTGATTAAACTGATCTGTGATATATTGTACTGGCATCCTTCAATTCGAATCAATTGATCACAATCATATACCGTACGATATATATAGATCATAATGAAATAAATATCATGAATTATGGCACGCAAACAATAAATCAGAATGAATTATAAACGAAATGATTTTCATTTATGATAGAAAGAATAAAGTCTGAAAAAGCAATAAAAAATTTGGAAGATGAATGCGAACAGGTGAGTGTCGACGTCTGCTGGATGAGTTGGGTCGAGATGATGATGGATCGCGATTACGACTTCGCCCTCTTTCGTGGGACGAATGATTACTGATGTCAGTTGGAGCCATCACTGATCCATCTACTGTCTTATCGAATGTTTCTCGACTGCATGGACGAATTCTGCAAATCAATACATAGATTGAAAATTGCCGACTGGTGGTTATATGTGGAATTTGAAAAGTAATGCCGCATTATATTATGCGCAACAGCTTACCTTATACCGCGCTCACCATCTCTATTCAAGATATTCTCAGCATCTTGAGCACTCTCGAAACGTACCAATGCATGTAATGGTTGGCCTGCAAAGTGCAGCTAACATCACCTTCTTCTTCTTCTTAACAACATTTTGCAACAAGACTTGAGTACAGAAACACTTTTGTGAATGATATTCTTTGATGGATATGGAGTGACGCAAGTAATCGCTCATATGATCAACAAATTAATTAACTGAGATATTATGACAAAAGACTACACACGTCGCCTCGCTAAATCAATGTCTTTTCGCTAGCACGAATGCAAGAGTGATTTGATAAAATTTGAAAATTATCGTAGATCGCCTAGTTCTTGTCTTATTAGACGAAAGAAACTCAGACTTAAAATGAAAAAATCTAAAATTGATAATGAACGGGTGGTGTATCATATGTAGCAATTAATATGATGATGGATCATATTTTTGCTTAGGCTGATGCTGACACCTGGGAACCACCTATTCGTTTAATAGATATTCTAGCGTCGGTATGAACCTCAGTCTACGTCTAGGCCGAAATGTAGTTCATTGCAACATTATGTCCTCTGATTAGTGCATCGTATCGATTTACTGCTCACCTTTTGGATCGAAAACCACTTTGACAGAAGAGAGTGTTAATGGAATCGACGGTTTTAAGAACTGTTCAAGTGCGGCTGGACTCACAAGTTCGGACGGTAATCGGCTTAGTTCCACATAGCAGCAACCCTCATTGATCTCTTGTTTTACTGCTCTAGAAAAAGAAAAATATTTATGCAAATGATCAACATTAGAGCAGTAATAATGTGACAAGTGAATTAATTCGAACCGTTGAATGGGTACTGGTGGAAATATAGGGGCGTTCTGATGCGAAAACACTCCAGCAAACGGATTTGCAGTGGCCAGTGATGCTGCTGCACCACTTGCATTCGATGCGCTCACTAGTGTTGATGCCAGAGCGGAAGCAACTGGCGGCATAACCGGTGGAACCATGGGTGGCATCACAAGACCTGGAATTGACGGAGGCATCTGCAATTGCTGACCCGGAATCAGTGGCGGTGCCACCAAACCACTTTGTTGGTATATCTGAAATAGAAATCATAAGTAGTGTATTTATTATTGGCTTCCTGTTGTTAAAAACGTTATTCTCTTAGTTTTCTGGAATGATCAGTTAATACTTTGGATTCCACTCTAATAGAAAATCAACAGGTCAATAATGTTCGTTAGATTACAGCTGAGGAACGCAGGTTATTAATGAACTACACTGGTATTTATCCTGTTCAATCACTTAAGCGCTATCAAATATTGCTCATATTATACGATTCTGAATTATCGCTCTTAACTGTATCCAAAAATTCCAAAAGTTCCGATGATCACTGAAACCCTGAACAAATAAGTATTCTACATTGTCGCTACCAACCAGTCAATCTCACCTGTGAACGCTGAGCAAATACATTCGATGTTGACGTGACAGTAGTCGGTTGAAGTGATGCTTTATAGCCTTGAAAATTACTGTTACTGGTATCAGTATCATAGTGTTCATCTCGAGCTGATTGCTGATGATAACTGTAATCGATGTATAACTTACATAGTGATAGCTCTACTGGATGCGATAAAAAGGAGAGGCATGAAAGGTTTACTTGAAAAGTTATGACTTGAAAATGATACTAACACAGCATTTGATGGTGTTGCTAGAGAATTTGTGTTATTTTGTGAAAGTATATTCAACATTTTCGCATCTTGCCACGGTGTTATTGATGCTGGTTGTTGCTGTGACGTTCCTCCTTTTGAATGTCGTGAACTAGGTACGGCGGTTGAACATGAACGTGAATCAAAACTGTTGCCTGATGCTGAATTCTTCCATGAATCTGACTGTATCTGTGAGGATGCCATTGAATTCACCATCTCGGCTGTACGACCCCATAAAGCTGCATTCTCACCTAGAATACGTATACACCTACGTGGGCGAACAACCAGTGTCATGAGAATAAAATGCTAATGGTAATGATAAAACCTCGATTGAATTGTTGTTGAGTGAAATCTGATTGCTGACGTTGTTGTATATCAGTGAGTGATTGTTGCGATGTTGCTTGAATATTATTGTTATTACTATTGTTAGTGTTATGACTTCTTGACGAAGAAATTAATGCTGCATGCTGTGCATTTCTATCTGTGGTGTTGTTAGTGAACGAATCTGATGAACGTGTGCCTACTGCTTGAGCTGCTGCAGCAGCTGCAGCGGCCATATTCATTTGTGAATCATCGTGTACTCCTGCAGTAGCAACTCGTTGTGATGCGAGCTGATCAAAGCTAGATGCAGCACCCAGATCACCGCTACGCGCTTTTGCAATCACACATTCCATTTCGACTCTCGACGATAGTAATAAATGAACTCGTTGATCATGAATTCGTCGATCATTGTACCGCATCGCTTGTCGTGCATCTTCATCAGTTGCAAACCCAATAAACGCATCACCCTCGGGACCTCCCACAATATGCACAGCACCGTCGGGAATTCTTAGACCAGCGAAGAAACTCCGAATATCGGATGCATTCGCTGATAACGGAAGACGCTGTAAGCGAATTATCCAAGACATTCGCTTTGTTTGTTTCTTTTCACTTTCTTTCAAACAACTGAAAATGAATGATGTTGGCTTCAGAATATGATTCATTAATTGACTAATCGACAATAATTAAGATGAACAAATCACGGTTTATATCAGTCGCAAAACGATTCAATTAATTCATGAAGCAATGTGTTTGCGGAGTGAATGATCGCTGAATCTGCTTGAGCATCACATTTGAAAAATATTACTTTTTAGAAAACCATCCACCAGCAGAAAAATAATTTCACTTCAAAACTTCTTTTCGCGGTTCAAAAAGGAGCTATCGGCGAGATTAGCAAGTATATGTCGACTCGTCTTATATCTAAATATATCTCTGGAGTCGTACGCTCTCATCAGCAACACTTTTTAATTCCTGATGTAGTGTGTTCCATATATACAGAGGAATAAGAATTGAGTTCTGATTACAGTAATTTATGTCATTCTTGTTGTTATTATTTTCCAAGCACCTTATCATACCAATTGCAGAAAAAGTTTATAAATGAATGTGAAATATTGTATTTAACCATTTCTGCTGTTCTCATATTCCTTGCTACTTATCATACTGCTTTCAGAAAAAATATAGTGACCTTTCAACATATTAGTCGTATCATACGACGTCCTCATCTGTTATCAGCAGATAATCATATCAGGAGGTAATCATCTTGCCTCTTTGACATTTCGGCACTGAATGGATTGCAAATTGTCGTTTCATTTTAAAATTCACATCTTTCGCGCTAACATATTGTAAAACTGTTGGAATGAAACCATTGAACATTAAGAATGAATTGTCATCAAAATGCAAATGAAATCACTTCAAATTGATTATATTCGATCTCATCAATATCTCACTGTAGAGTGGAAATATCTTAGAAGAAAGCTGATAGCAATACACAGCAATGTATCATTTCGTATAATGCTTTTTGTCGATGTTGTATTTGATTGCTACTATGTACATATACATATATTATACAAATGATCCTCCAATAAACAAGTGAATGATGCAAAAAATGTATCATCAATGTGAACCAAAAATAAGGATTCCTCGATGCACCGCAATTGATTTATTACTGCAGGTATTGATAAAGAATGCAAAAACAGTGCTACTAGCCACTAATATCTTATCATATGTACACATATCAGATAAGATCTATATCCAGAATGAATTCACCTAATTCACTGTCAAATAATGAAAACATCAAAATTTCATCCCTTTCGCACTTCAAGTACCATCTTCTTAGTGATGCAAAAAAAAAACTGAGTCCTGTAATAGTTTCCTAAGAATGTAAATTAAACCTTTTGCATCTGACTACAAATTGAACATTTGCGCCATTATGCTCTCAGTTATCCAGTACCTAACTCATGCCAAACATTTGAACATTAGTGGCAAATTTCTTGTTGATTCAAAAGAATTGATGGATCATCTCTGATGTGTGAGCACTTTCACGATCTATTATTCTCACTAGTCAAATTATTTCACTGTGTTCAAAAGTAGTCGTCTTTGACCACCATTACCATTAGCGTATGATAATAATGGTAAACAACATTTACTACTCAGTAGTTTCGATCAGTTCAATTGGGTAGACGGTGGAGTTCTATTTTTGGATGAAGAAGCAACATCTACTTATTTCCGAAGCAACAATATAAAATTCATCCGATGAGGAAAGCGTACTGAAGTGATGATGAGCATCAACTGGTGTTTTGTGGCGCAGATCAACTACGGACAACAATGGAGAGCACTTTAGTTGGATATTTCTGATTGTGTTTATTTCAGACGTCTACTACAAATCAGCTACTTCCTTGTTAGTTTTCTTGCGACCGTTCATTTGCCATTTTTTGAAGTGAATCTGGAAAGAGTGAATGAATTGCTCGTGTTTCTTTTTTTTTGGAAATTAACAAATCTTCAGCAAATTATGATAATTAACAATTCTTTAGTGATGCATCGCTGTTTTATCAGTCAGCGCCACATCAGTGCAATTTTCTTTCATCATATCAATAAAAAATAATATTATTAGTACAACAATTGTATCAATCACAACATTTTCACCTATTCACTTCGTTCATCTTTCAAGTGTTCTTTTTTGCTTACTTGCGCAATAACCCTTTTGCAACCCAGTCAGCATTTCTTCAGTCAGAAAGGAAAATGGGTGTTCTTTTTTTTTTCTGCACAATAACAAATTTTTCATAACGGTCGCACAATAGACCATGCTTGATAGAGTTCAGTGGTTGTGTTAGCAGTGTGCTTGTTCGCTTCCGAATTCAGCAGCAGCAACAGCAGCAGTTCAGAAAAGATGCAGATTTTATCGTGGCATAAACAACCAAACGCTTCAGTGGATTATCGAATTCGATATTAACAAGCAACTGATGCTTGATGTAAATAGTACAATTTGCATGCGATTAAGTAAGATGCTATTCATAAAAATCTGCTTGCCGATCACTTACAATTCAAGGTTCACAAAATCATTTGAGAAAATCTCTTTCCTCGCATCATTTTTTGCTGATCATTTGTTGACCAAAAAAAAACACTAGAATAGAAATCGTGATTTCATCGCCTTCAAAAATTATTTCTTGCATCATTCAAGAGAACAATAACTGTAGCACAATGCTGACAAATTTAGTTGATTGATACACATTCAAGTGAATACTTTTCTAAAGAAGCAGCTAAACAATCACCAATGACTGTCCTCACACGAAGACAGGTAAGACCATTGTGCATTATGATTGTGCTAATGTTGAACGTCCTCTTACGAAGACAGATTTTATTCCATTTCATTAAATCAACAAACTAACTTTACAATCAACTACGTCCGTAAAAATCACAGCTGAGTGTCCCAAAATTTCATTGATCATTGACTGTTTTAGGTGATACTGCTATATTATGCATTGATTCACTTATCAAAAGCACGTTGAACAATCATAAAATTGACGATGATTATTTATTGTGTAGCAAAAAACAAACCGACATTGGACAACTCTTTGCAATCGCTACTTTGATGTGATCATTTGAAAATGATTGATTCATCATCTAATCAGGCGTTTTTCTTCAGAGTAACCGGCGATGTAGTACGGTTGTGATTCTGACTGCACGGCTGACTATCTCTATTCAGAAGAGCAGCACCATCATATTGTTGCGAGAATAAATCCCGTGCAATATTAACATATCGTCCCTAATCCCTAAACAGTCAGTTGTTCTCGTTGAAGTTTTCAACTAAAGTATATCATATCTTATCAAATGGAGCAGATTCATTTAATCGAACGGTCTTTCAGTTGGAATTCATTACTGGTCATAAGGACACCAACTGTCATTCAAACGAAAACTGTAAATACCCTTAATTATCAGCTACTATCTGCTTAACATTAAATCATGGCTGTTTTCAACTGATAAGCACAAACATAAAAACGAAACGAGAAATCTGTCAAAAATTTAATGGTAATATAATATTTTGAATGATGATGATGATAGAAAAGTTCAATTGAACGATGTCGAGAGCTGAGAGTGAATCGGTGAAATCGTGATATGTTCATAAGCAGCGTTATGAGAAGATATGTGGATTATGATTTGAGTGAGTGTTCGTTGTTTTGCAGTGAGCTGCCGCGTTGAGCATTACTTTTAAGGTATATTATTTGGCTGCGACATTTCGGTCTTACACAATTATGCGAATGCATGAATCAGGACTCAGGATAACGACATTCTTTCAGCATGTGTTTCTTGTTCGTGCCAATTAGTAACTTGCTAAAACTAAACACTAAAAGAGTAGCATTTTAGTGCACGTCAAGAGAATGTGGTAGTAATTTGCACGATGAAGTTGATTCAGCGTAAGATTCTACTCACGACCGACTGTACCGTCTTTCCAGGAATTACTAAGAAATTTCACTCATTCGTCCCTCTAGAACAACTTCAGTTCTTGAAATGAATTCAATGTGTATACAATTCTCCTACTTAATAGCAATTTTCATTCAGTTTCGACATCATTGTTTTTTTTTTCTCTTCTTTATTCTCCCTTGTTCAAAGGAATAATGACACCGAAACGATTTTCACTGATTTAGTTTCAACGACCAGCGAATCTTTAGTGAAATGATCTTATCTTATCCATGCTTCTTCAGTGCTTCACCAATACATTAGCAATACTGTTCAACTAATATAATTTCAACGTTACTTTCCTATTCTATTTTGCATGGTCGCATCTGTGAAGGACACGTTGGAAGTGTGAAGCTGGCTGGCTTGCAAACCGATCAAACGGACTAAACTTTCAAAGAGAAATGAATGCATTTCAAAAAATACGAAACTCTCCTTTCTTGTTAATACCATATTGCTGCATTTAAACTATTTGCACAGAACGGATTGAATCTATCTACTACAAATCTGATGTCTACTATTCGAACACATACACCGTGCTTCGTTTACATTTTAATTGGGGAAAAGGAAACGTTCTCTTTTGCTTTTCCATTGATCGATCGATCTCGAATTGTAAGTGAATGGAATGTATGAATTAAAATGATGATGCGCTGGTGACAGCACTTATAGCATGTGCACATGTTAGAAGACGATTTAAACAATTCACTTTTTTNCCTTTCATCAAGGATGATTTCGTTCATCCCCTCCTTTCGGCTGTAGGTCTGATCATTCATAAAGATTTCTACTAGCATTTACACCTAATATGTATCATGCCCAATTTGCAACTAACTTTCGTATTCTTTTTCTTCATCCAAAAAATGTTCTCTCATTGAGGTTGACGAAGAAGCAACGAGAAAAACTGCAAACACTGTAATTAAAATAATGATACAATCTCAAAACTGCTCAAGTTTAGATGAGGTTCGTTCAGCTTTTCAGTGCAGATACATTCAGCGTTTCAGTGTTAGGAAGATGACGATGATAACAACAACGACAACCACATATAATCAATCAGTTGCATTCTGGGATGGGTTGAGATGCTCGTGTAATTAGCACATATTCTGGAAGAGCTTATAATGCATAGGATCGCATCTACTCAGATCAAATTTTATGCTTCTTCAACGAGATATTTTTTATCAACTCATACATGCTGTATTAATTAATTCTCATACCTAATTTGAAAATACTCATTCTGGTTTCAGCGAATTTTTTGAGCATTAACATACTACAAATGTAATCGACAACAAATCACATTCTATTCAAGAAGCTTCATTCGAAATGTATCGAAATGTTGATGATGGTAGAAAGTGTAAAATAAGCAGCATCTATTTATTGGAGTTGCAGTAACAAAACAAGTAATCATTCTACCCGCATTGGTAATCTTTGATGGTATGATAAAAGTGATGCATTCCGTGATGTAAACAAAAGAGGTGGCAGTTGAGCAATACTAGCTATTGATGAATCAAACTGACTTGCAGAAGGTTTAGAAAATACCGCATTTGAACAATAAAAGAATCAACACTGAACTTTTGACGGCATCGTTCACAAATAATTAAGCAATGAAGTCGTCACAAAACTCCTAGAACAAATGTAAATACAATCAAAAATAAACGAAGCATACAAGAGACGACCATCAACAGATCCGAATCCAACCAAATTCGTGAACCTCACCGATCCAGTCCAACAACCACCAACACAACACACATTGCGCGCTACCTATTCACGCACGTTCAAATGCGCCATGTTATGAAATCAATCGATACTACTATTAATGCTCTTCTTCTCTCTTGCCTATTCACTTTTGCTCATATCTGCTGAACATCTTTCTTTCTTTCTTTCTTTCTGTCTATATGGCCTATATCGTAACGAAATGTTTATGCATATAGAATCCGTAGCATTGCTGCCGGTCGTTGCTCTAAGCAAATAGATCCGATAGTAGAACGATCCGATCCGATCCGATCCGATCCCACTTGGTGGAAGGAATAAGAGGATTTCAGCGGAACCTGATAAAATTCAAGAGTTTGAGGATGTTACAAATCGTTCGAAGTAGTTGCAATCCATAGGATTGTTGCTGTTGGTTCTTTCGAAAACTTCATAACTTCGCCGAGCGATTTTGATCATTCTGAATGCATAGCAGTTGGTAGACGCTAAACAGAAATTATCGAGAGGTCACTATTCGGCACATTCTGACTACATCCCAGAAAAGGGAAATATGGGAAGCGCACAGCGCTGGAAGACCACCGAAATCACCGGCATCAATTTAGCCTTATCCTTCAAGGTCATACTCAGTTTTTGACTCGAGCTTATGCTTAGACCTACGCTAAAGCTCATCTTAGGACATACACTCAAGCTCACACTAAGCTTGGGCTAAGTCGTAATATTTTGGATGATTTTTGCCATTTTCCAATAGCTCTTGTTTCACAAATAGCGGTGAATAGTGCGGTACAGTAGTTCGGGGCGAATCACTGATGTGCACAATTCGTTTCGAAGTGCGCATCTCGATTTTATTACACGTTTGCATCCTTGAAAGGGGATGATGATGAAAAAAGCAGTTTAACTGTGAAGAAAGTGAATGATTCGACTTGTGGAGGTGTTTTTCCTTTGATGGGGTGTTTTAAGGCGTGATTTTTAGATGATATTGGTGAAGTTGTTGCTTTATCGTATTTTTGTGGCATTTCATGTACAACTATTTGACATGGAGAACTTTTGTGTGGAAAACGATTAGCAGCACCTCAATTTTTGCATGCAAATTTGATTTTGTTGTGTTTATTAGTGACGAAAAAGCATTGAGTATTTGGGTCGTGTATCAGTTCAGTTTTGCGATAGTGTTGTTTTAGCAATAATGTTTAACTTCTAAAAAGTGATGCTTTCTTGCAGTCTTAATCGAACTCGATGGGACGTGCACAGTTCGAATATGACGAAGTGGGTAATACGTTTTATTATGTACTTGTTTCATTTTATGCACTAATACTCGTGCCGTCAACTTTCTTCTTTTGGCCATCTTCAAAAAAAGGTTCGTTTCTTACTTCTTTCAGTTTTTCAATGCAACACTCGAAATGCGCTAATTTGAATCGAGATTATGAATTTGATGCGTAAATTATATTGAAATCGACATGAGTATTAATATGAACATATTTGAGGCGTTATTCTAGATAGCGTTGAACGAAGAGAGCATTGTGGATGTGAAGGATGTACAGAAAAACGTTTGAAAGCAGAAGCATCGAGGCCGTGGCGAAGAACCAAAAAATTTTTAACATTGATAGCATTATTGATCGCTTGGATTGTTTTCTTCATTATTGTTCACAAGGTTACACAGATCGAACAAGATCATGTCGAATATGATCCATATGCTATTTTGGGCTTAGATCAGGTCAGTTTTCTTTTATCTTTTCTTTACTGTTACTGTTATTGTTTTTTAATTGCTGTTATTGTTGCAATCATTATCAAAATTTTGAGGGTGCACCAGTATCACAAGTGAAGAAAAAGTATCGCGAACTGAGCAGAACAATGCATCCAGATAAGGGCGGTGACCCGATTCAGTTCGATCGTATCGCGAAAGCATATCAAGCGCTCACTGATGAAGAGAGTCGAGAAAACTGGGAGAAATACGGGAATCCTGATGGTCCAACGGGTAATAATTACTGTTCATAATTGCACCTCATATTTATTCATAATGTGCAACTTTTTTGAATTTTCTAAAGACTTGTTACACTTTCATGAACGGTACTTGTTCGAATCAATGTTTCATCATGATTTTACCAATGAAATTGTTTCAGCAACAACCTTTGGGATCGCACTGCCGAAATGGATTGTCAGTAAGGAATACGGTTTTTGGGTACTTGCCTTCTACGGTTTCGTCCTTATGATCCTTCTCCCATCAGCTGTCGTGAGTTTCGTTTTTGATTGTTATCAAAAAGTATTCTGAAAATCTTTAATGTTGATGAGCTGCTGATTGCGTCGAAGAAGTGGAACGTATTCTGCGAACGAATATTAATTTCTCATATCAATTTTCAAACCCGTTATCAGTTTAACTCCATTGAAGAAGAAAAGAAGCAAAGGTGTCGGAGGAACTGCCCAACATCCCTTCGTGAGTGGGATGGTTGAAACGAGTTGATTGGAAAGCTACAGTTATTCTTGAAGTCAACAAATAAATATTTGCATATTAATGTGTTGACATTGTTTTTACAGGGCTTTTGGTGGTACAATTCAATAAAGTATAGTGTTGATCAAGTGCTTATTGACACGGCACAAATGTATTATTACTTCTTTCATAAGACACCAAAAATGGAGATTAATCGTAAGTTGATAATGTTTCATTTGCATCTACCAATTATGCTATGTCTTTTCTTGTCTCATGAATTGAAACGAATTAAGGAATGATAATGGTACTGGGTGGTTCGTTTGAGTTCTGGAAACAATACAATAAAGAAATAGTCGAACGAGAAAGTGACGATATTGAACTACCTCCACTGATCAAAGAGTTCAAGAATTTGAGTGAAAACAAGAAAGAAAGACCGTTGTGCTTGCCGTATTCGCTGAAAGCAAGACTATTCATTCACGCTCACTTGAATCGTTATGAACTACCGTCAGATAGTCTGAAGACCGGTAAGAACTTTATGAGTAATAGTTTTTGTAATAGTTTAAGAATGATGATGATGGATAACTTGCAGATAGTAACTATGTGATGTCAAAGTGTGTAATGTTAATTAATGAAATGTTATCGATAACACAACAGCTTTACTTCTACGGCAATCTTTCGAGATCTCCCTCGTTGGATACTATCGAAAATTTGACCAAGTTGGTACCAATGATTGTTCAAGCATTATGGCCAAAGAATAGCGCTATTCTTCAATTGCCACACATCACCGAGCATAATTTGCATCATTTTCGTCGGGTTCGTCGTACTTTTACTCGATATTGTGCAATTCATTTCGATTCAATCGCTTAAACTTCAGCAAACCGCAAACAAAATAACGAATTTTCAGAACCGAATTGTGACATGCTCTGATCTGGCGAACGTTGGCGAGGCAAAGCGACGCCACATATTGCAATCGCTGAGCGAGGCCGAATATAATGACGTTATATTCGTGCTTCAGTCGATGCCTAAACTGACAATTGCGACACGTTTTGAAGGTTGTTCAGTTGAATGTTAATTTTATTACATTCCTCTATGTTCGTTTAAAATTCGTTTTGTTTTTGTGTCATCGAAACGCATCTCAAAGAGTGTTATGGTTGATTGACTGCTGAAACGAATTCAGTGCAAGGAGAAGAGGACTGTCAAGAAGTAACCGTTGGTTCGGTGGTAACACTTAAAGTGACGATGACGAGGAGCCGATTGCTTGATCCCGAGAAAAGAGCTGAGGAAATTCGGGAAATGAATGAAAGGGTGAATATGCTGATTGATTAATTAATGAAGGTTTATTTTGTGTTCGAGATTGATCGAATGAGAGTAATAAAAGTAACTGTTGAAGGGAACTGATTTGGGAGGTGTCGGTGCGACGACGTTGGAAGATGAAAATGACGAGAATAACGATGAAAAAGAGAATAATGTCACGAAGAGAAAAGTCTGGGAGAAGCAACCGAAAAAGAAATCTAACAAACAGAAAGCACCGAAAAATCGTCAGCCACAAAAAGTGAAAATTCTGAAGAAAAGCGTCGCCAAAGCGGATGAAGAAGACGCGAAAAAAGATGATGAATTGAAGAAAGAGAAAAAGGAAGGTGGTACTGATGAGGGTATTGAAGCATCGATAGCCGATTCGGATGAGTTGGATGCAGGCAGTGCGTCCGAGAAAGAAGATAACAACCACAAACTGTATGCGTTTATTCTTCTTTTCGCTACTTTCGCTTTTCGCTATGCCAAGAAGCGAGAGGTATAGTCGTATCGAGTTGAATTAATGCCTACAACAGGAACAGTGACGAGGAGAGTGTGAGTGGTGACGAAGGTGCCGGAAATGGATCATCGGATGAATCGGATGGTGAGGAGTGGGCGAATGAGAATCTGATCAAGAAGCAGAATCTTTTGGAAAGGAAAAGCACGAAAACACATGTGGTGCATTGTCCGTATTATCCGTGTGAAAAGTACGAATGGTGGTGGTTGTTTTTGATCGATAAGAAGTTGAGAAGACTCGTCGTTCCAGGTGCACACTGCACCACTTTGGTTGATGAGCAAACCGTAAGTTCATGCGTTCATCTCTTGTGCACTCTTTATCTGTACTTTAATATGTTCAGATGGTTGATTGGCCGTCGATAGTTTATGTACGTTTAAATCAATTTCAGGTGGAAATCAAATTTGCTGCGCCACAACAGAAGGGCATTTATTATTATACGTTGTTGGTGAAATCTGATTCGTATATGGATTGCGATTATACAATTGATTTGAAGGTTGTTCGTTTGCTGAATATATTGTTCTCTCATCTATACTGCCAGAAGGAATACCGTTTCAAAATATAAAAATTTTAAGGAACTTCAAGGCTGCAAGTAGTAAACGTGATCAGTTGTTCTGAAAATTGATTCATTTAATGTTGCTCAGCGTATTTGGATTCACTGCGTAGTTTTATGATTTGTAGTGTGCGTTGAATTGATTTTTTGTTACTTTTCAGCTGGATGTGCATGAAGCGAAAGAAGTTCCCTTGATCAAGTACGAGGATTCTGAGGAAGAGCAAGCTGAAGATTCAACTGATTATACGGAAGATTCTGAATCGGATCACGATTGATTAGCCAACGTTCAAGTGAAAACGCATTCTCTATTCATTTTATTCTACAATTTGTTGTTATGACGATGTTCTCGCAATCATGCTTTTGAGGACCGTCAGCCCAGTTCACTCCTGTTGCTCTTTGTTATATTATGTGATATTTGTTATCATTATTTGTTCCTTCTAGCGATGATTATTGAGTTTTTCTTTTCCAACAATAATTGTGATGTTTACTTCTTTATTCGTTCGTTTAATTTATTCAGTCAGATTAATATTTGGTCGTTAATGCTACTTCAGTGTTGATTTTAATTTGACAATAGTCAGTTGCATAGTTGAAGTATCAGATTGATTTCAGAATAACAGCATTTCTTCCATCAAGTGCTATTCATCAGTTTCTCGCTAACATTAGCAATCATACGATTTGTAATTTTGTGGATGGGGATGCAAACTATAATTGAGAATAGTGAAATAATATACTTCAGTAGTATGGGTTTGGTGGGAGGTAGTTTGGCCCGGTGATGTGGCAGGTAGAAGTTTACTTAATAAACGATTCGAACGGAACATGGGCTACTGAGATTGAGCGTAAGCCAACCACAAAAACAACAGCAATAAGAATAGTTTATTGTGCTCCTTTTCTGCATTCTCCGTCCTCATTCATTTCGGTGTAAGCGTTTTCAGTGGATCAGTTAATTTGTTAATTAATAGTTCTTTCGTCGATTATTGATAGCGGAGAGCATATAATATATACATATATATATACTTAAATAATATAACCAACATAATCATGTGATTTTGAATTTTTTGTTTGTTTGACGGGGTTTGTTCGTCGTTTCATTCGATTGATGATATAGAATAAGCTTTTTTTTATTTGTTTTCCATCATTACTGTTTTCATTGATGTTATTCATTGATTGTTGTTTTTGTTTTTTCTCTGTTGGGTGATATTGTTATTACTGGAAGTATGATGAATGAATATGTTTGTCATATGCTCATTTCGTCATTCTTTTATGCTCTGTTCTCTTCATAATAATTCATTGGTTATTAAACATTTATCGAATGTTCTTGCAAATACTCAAAAACAGTCCTAGGAACATGTAATGTGAATGTAATAAGTGTCAAATCAGAATTCATATCAAATAGCATCAAAAACGAACGTTTTTATTTCGAAAACTGCGATTATCGATGGCCCAATCGTTCGATCGTTAGAAATGCTTCTCGTCAACATCCTAGATTGAAGGATCGATCCGATCATATGAATCAGTTTCTAGATACGAGTCTCGAGATGTTTCCTTTGTCAGTTAACCTTCTCAAAAAAGTGAAAATCTGAATTCAATCAAACTACAATATTTTCGTTGAAAACCGAGGACGAACGTAATTTCGAGCAAAAAAGATTCATGTCAACAAAATCTTCAAGCGAAACTGGTGATGAGATGTGGTACTCAGTTAGTGGTACTTACCGTTTCCATTGAGATTGTTCAACAAGATATGACAAGAACCGCATCAATAATAACAAGAGTAAGATTCTTCTTATTCGGGTCGAAATTCATGGGGGGCGTGAAGATTTATTTGTTCATCTAAATGGCAAGTAGCCGCAATGAGCATATGCGTTGTTTCATATTCATTATTGCACCTTCTGAATTGTAATGGGATTCGCATTCAAGTTTTTCCTTATTCATCATAACCCTGATCATAACCAGTAAATTAAAATGACGCTGCTGATAAGAATTTCCAACAGCCTCTTAATGAATAATGTTGGATTGAAAGAAAGGTGGTTGTAGATGATGTTCAGTGGAACCGAACTGAACTATGAGAATAAATAATTGGGTATTCCGCTGGATGGGATAACTTGATAGGGAGCAGCAAAATCCCAGTCACCCGTTCGGCTAGCTCCTTCGTTTTGTCACAATCGGAAAATCGTGCGTATCACTCCCTCAACAGTCTTTATTTGCAGAATTCATAGAGTGTAAGAGTTGACGTTGCTCAATTCGTGTATAAAACCGTTTTTGTGTGTCCGTTTCCCCAAAAGTCCTGGCGCTCTCCAGTTACCACTGCTTCTCCTTTAGCCCCTTCTTGGCTACACACCAGGAAAAGGGACACCCCAGCCGGATGAGAGATTCCCTGTAAGTAGAGCGGTTTCTCGATTGCTGCACGTGAAAAAGGCTCCTTTAAAGAAAGAGAGATGGAAAAGGTCGGTTGCATGAAACTTAAATCGGCTAAATGAAATTGCCAAAACACTCAGCTCAAATGTTTAAAGTCGTCTTGACCAGCATCCTTAAGTATGTAGCGCCTTTTCATTCTTCAAAGAACATGGCTCTGCTCAGGCTGAAGACTTTTGCTTGAGTTCTTGCTCATATTCATGCATAACCTAAAACTGAGCCTAAGCTGGCCCGACTCTGACCCTGAATCTCGATCGAAATTCTAATCGCGCAAGCTATTCATTCTATATTCTCCAAAATGTATCGAGGGCAATGCGATGCACGTTGAGTGATGCCATGCCGCCTGCCTGCAGAGATGTATTTTGAACGTTGTCCTCGTTTTCTTTTCCTCTCTCCTCTGCTTCTCAAACCATTTTTCGCAAACTCCTCCACACAAACACTCCTGTTCGCATGAGTCACATTGGTTTTTTTTCCTTTAAAGAGCGACTGATGATGGTTTGCGTGCTTGGAGGATGATGTGTAGTTGTCAAGTTTTTTGTTTTGGTTTGGTTTGTTTGTCAGTATGATTGCTGAGAAAAGACTGTTTCTTGAAAGCGTTTATTTGTTTACAACCGAACATATTCGTCGATGTTAGTGCGTTATAATCAGAATCCATTATCATTCGTACATCCTTCTTATTAGTCACTTTCTTCATTTGATATTCCAACCACAGGTGTATGTGCTATTCGGTATGATTTAGATGCATTGTTTCCGTATTTCTCCTTTAATCAGCCAAGTATGAATCGAAATATTTGTTGATGTTTTAATTGTTAAGGTGAAGTGACTCGAATAGACGCTGGCAGTTGGGAAAGATCAGACGAAAAGTCCATAAAGGACATTGTTCGTCTAGCTGACCAGCCGTGCATATTAGTAATTCAGAAATGCAGTTGACCGAGGAAAGCGATTCTGTCTCAGTGTGAGTTAGTTTTTGTTTTGAAGAACAAATTTGATGATCAATTCAAGAATTGTATGGATTTCAATGATCAATTATATATTATGAATTTTTCGAACACAATAATTGTTTAGAAGTGCTAGTATCAGCTAGACGCTCCGATTAAATTATAATCAGTATTCTTAATTTGTAGGAGTAGTTCGGACGACGAAGAGCTGAGAACAGTTGAAAGCGTCGATCTGTGTGATCGAGTTTTGTGGCCGTCCAGTAAAGAGCATAGTTTAATTGCAAATGCACCGTGGTGCAGAAAACGCTATCATCTTTCACTTTATGGGTGCGTCAATGAATCGTTACTGCATCACTGATATTCATTTTTTATCTGAGTTTGCAAAACATGTGTTTCTAGTTTTACACTGATTAATGAAGCGTTTTTTTTTTCAGACTTCACGAAGAGATAATAGATTTATATAGGTGGTTGAGACCGTCACCACTCGAAAAGGCACTACGATATTGTGTTTTCGAACGTGTCCGATCGGTAATTGAACGCGTATGGCCAACTGCAAAAGTGGCCGTTTTTGGTAGTCTTTTCACGAACCTTTTTCTTCCAACATCCGATATCGATGTTGTGGTGGAAATTGAGCATCTTGATGAGCCCCCTCTGTGGAAAACGGCTGAATCTTTGAAGGCGTCAGGTATTGCTGAAACAATTACTGTTTTGGATAAAGCATTTGTGCCGATCGTAAAGATGGTCGATAAAGATACGAAAATATTCTTGGATATCTCATTCAATACTTCACAAGGCGTACGTACAGCCAAATATATTGAACAAATGAAAAGCCGCTATCCGGTGCTTGAGCCGTTGGTACTTATCTTGAAGCAGTTTCTTATGCAACGTCAACTAAATCAAGTGTTCACCGGTGGTCTTTCTTCATATGGTCTCATCTTAATGCTGATCAGCTTTTTACAACTTCATCATTACGACTTTTCACATAAGTCAATCCACGATGTGAATATGGGCATGATATTACTGAGTTTTCTTCAACTTTATGGTCAAGAATTCAATTATTTAACGACAGCACTTCGTGTTCGTGACGGAGGTGCGTATGTTTGTAAGGAAGAAATGATCACACTTATGAGTCGACCTTCAAACTCAATGTTGTGCATTGAAGACCCTCTTCAACCAGGTTAGTACCATATATGTGTTCATTTGCTGTTCATTTCTTTTTGTCAGTTAATTCACGACTGCCTTGTGTTTAGGCAATGATATTGGACGTTGTTCACACAACATTTTATTTGTACGTCAAGCGTTCGATCACGCACTATGCACGCTGGGTGCGGCTTTTATTCGTTCACGTGAGAGTTCGCACGCAGATTGGATGAAACACTATGGCGGCTCTTTGCTATCACAGATTGTTTCAATTTCCTCAAGACATATCAGATATCGAAATTGGCTGAGTGGTCGAGTGCTGTCGGATGCGAATTACCATCCCAGTAATAACAACAACAAATTAACGTCACCGCTGTCCAATCCATCATCTGCCTCTACTCCACTCGATGCATTTCCTACTCTTCCGCCATTAAGCACATCCATCTTTATACAGCCATCATCAGATACTACCACGAATAGTAATAATCCATCTTCAAATCAATCATCATCATGTACCTCACCAAATACATGCATCAAATAAGAAACTGTACCGACAGCCCACTATCGATCACTCAAAGTTACTTCATCCAATACTTGTTTAGGTGTTATCATATTCTATTTGGATTTTCAGTTCCTAAGATCAGGCTTCATAATGATCACGCTTTGGATGTATCCCCTCTTTTCAAGTTCAATTTCATCGCTTATTTAAACTTGTTTTTCTGATCAGTTCGCAAAGCCGGTTAATTGATCCGTTAGTTTCTCGAAACTCTTTGCTGAATCGATCCTTCTATTTGTGGAACTGAACCTTTTCGTGTTTTCTGAGGCGTCATCCGACATCTCTTCCGTTTCAGTGTTTCTATTCGTGTTTGTGCAAACAGATAATTCTGTTTATGCAATGCAAACTTATAATTACTAGCTTATGTTACATAAAACTGAAGGGATTCAGACTTATGAAATTATGTAATATATCAATGAATAAGGATATCAAAATGCTATAAATATTTCTGTGGAACTACAATTGTTCATTGTCGTTGTCAGTAATTAAGTTATGTTTAGTCATCTTGAATGTGTCGCTTTTTTGTTTGTTTGTTTAATTTCATGTGGAGTTTATGATCATTTGCTTTAATTGCCCAGTGCTTTGGATCTTGCCTTATACGCCGTTATCCATTTTAATGGATTCCCCTTTCTGTTTTGTGTTAAAAGGAAGATTTAATGTTATTATCAGTATATGCTTATTGATTAATATCGTCTAATACTTTGCCATTTCAAGTGCTCATTTTGAGGGTATTTGATTAGCATGTTCTCAGTGATAATGAGAAGTTTTGTGGCATTTTTCTTGTTGAATCCATTATTTTATCATTGTTATTGTTCACTGATTATTTGTTGTTCTGTATGGAATGCTTATTTGCTCAAATGCGCATAATTAGTTTCAATGTATACCTAAGTTGAGAAATTATTCGAAAACAATCTGGGTTGTTGATAGTTTAGCCATATATCTGGGTTGTTGATAGTTTAGCCATATAGTGCGTTGTGATCATTCTGGATGAAATGTTCTTTTTTTGGTGAATAAGCTGTACTTAACGGTAAGGGTGTAGCATGCATTCGTCACATCCGATGTTTCACCGAATCACTGTCATTGCCATACATACTGCACGATGTTGAATTTATATTTGTGTCGTTATTAGTACTTGAAATCGTTATTTGATCCAGTTTGTTGGTCTGTTGATTGATAAGGTTGATATTTATCATTCCTGACTTTAAACAACTTTAAACTGCCTCTTTTTTGTCTATCTATCGATGTATTCGGTTTTTTTGTTATAACTCAGCTCAAAGCATTCGTGAAGTCGAAAACAATATTTTTCCTTATGTATACCATCTTGTTAATCACATTTATTCATATTCTTAAAGGTAATAGCATAATTGGATATCATAGTATCTTCGTTTGCTTGTGTTTTTGTACGAAAAGATTTTCTCATTCAAGGCTGCTATTAATATTTGATAGAGAATATCAGTGTTATTATAATTCTTTATGGTTAAATTGTATATGATCGTAATGTGATGACAAGCGAATTTCAACTTGAAATGGTTGAAATGAACAATTCTATATGTGGTGCTTCTTTTGAGTGTTGTGTTTCTGTATTTTCCGTATTATTATTATCATTATTATTATTGTCATTTTTATTATTATCATGATTAGTTGCCTTGTAATTATCGAGTGATATCATCCATAACTGATCATAGTTTATTGTTGTTTTTTGTTTCTCTGTAACTTTATAGTCAAGCCATAATCATTGTTGATTTTCTTCTATGTTTAGGATATATCTGCTTAGTAGTACTGGTGTAACGATAATTTTTGAATCAAAAAAAGATTTAAAAAAAACAACAAACATAAAAATTCGTTTTGATTGTATCGCTTTTTTCTACTTATACCACAGTAACGAACCGTTGTGTACAATCGTACGTACGGTCGTTTGAATATTTTGAAAAGTGTTTCTATTACTTTTTCTCTTCTTTTTTACTAAACTCATCAGCAGATTGTTTATCGGCATTGTCGTTTACGAAAATTTATGTGGAGTCGATTTCCGTTTGCTTTGATTTACTGTCTATTTACTGGGTTCACTCAACCCAGTTCAATAATGATCACTTCTAAAGTTTCGGTGAGAGGTTGCGGTTAATTTGAGTGGCAAGATTATATGCTCTCTGTGAATCCAGAATTCTTTGTGTCGTTAAGACGTTTGCGAATATAAATAAGTGTTTAGTAGTGGTTATCCACCACTGATCGATGTGTTTATCATGCGTTGCGATTAATTTATATTTTCAATCACTTTCTTTCACTTGCATTTTATATGGCTTAAATGCAAAGAAGCATGTGGTGCAACTGCTTCATCATTTGCTTGGGTGCGCCACTATATAGTACAAATAAGTTTCGTGACGATAATGCGCACGTTTTGCATTTTTTTTCATATAGATGCGTATGTGGGGGGTAGTTTAGAATTCGTGTAGTTCTTGGCTCTATCCTTACATGACTCTTTGTCGAGCACAATACAAATTTGGTCGTTATCATATCTCTAGCAGTTAGGTATATGGGTGTTTTCTTGTTGGCGGCTAAGTTGAAGTATTTGTATTGTGTTCGCATAGAGATTTGTGTCTAATCTGGGTCACTTTTTTATTTATACAATCGACGAAAGGAAAATATTGTTGACAAGCAGAACAGCGATCACTTGACAACGAGTATAGTGAGTAAGAGAATAATCGATCTTGCAGATGGAGCCGTCTAATTCGGAGTTGAGCATGCCCATTGAATCTTCATCGACGCTAACATCGCATTCATCAAATTCGTCGCAAACCGAAATCAAAGTCGAGGTGAACTAATTTTATCAGCAACAACTCACTTACTCACTCATATCACATGCAACAACACATAACTTCATTTTACAGCATGTAAAGCACAGTTGGACGGTCAAGAATTTTTCGCATTGTTATCAAGAATATCTTGAGAATTTTGTGCATCTTCATCGTGGTGAAGATACGCTGACATGGTCCATAAAGATCTACCCAAAAGGCAATGGTGAAAACAACAAAGATTTTGTGTTTCTTTGCTTGAATCGAGTAGTGAGCAACACAGCTGCGTCATGCAAAAACGGCAAAATAGGTTTCAAGTCGAGGTGAGCAATAGTGTTTTCGAAACATTTCAATTCTTAGTGAGTCTTTTTTCGTGGAATTAGTATTGCTCATCATCATTGCATTATGTCGTTTATAATTGAAGCATTTTCTAGTGTGAATAAAATTCTGCTCTAAAAGAGTGATATTACAATAATTGTAAAGTACTTATGGTAGTAATATTTGGAATTTGCAGATTCATATTAAGAACAAGCGAAATGAAAGAGATCGAAATGCGAATCCATCCGAATCCATCCCATTCCGATTATGTTTCTTATATAAAACGCGATATCCTCTTTCCACAAATCCTACCAAATGATTCAATTATCGTCAATGTTGAAATCGATGTAGCTGTTGAAACAATCACAACAACTGTAGAAGATATGATGTCGGTACGTTCGCAAACGCATCATACATCTGTCAATTCAGTTTTCGAATCAGATCAGCATTTTTTACTAATGTTGTTACAATAATAATAATAGTGTGCAATTGTGATCTATTCATTATCTGTTCATTAACGTATTGCTTTATTATCAGAGTAATAGTGAACAACAGTTGACCGACGACTACCTGAAGATGTTAAAAGAGAATGTGCTAACGGATTTTACGATTAAAGTTGGTGAACGAGAGATTCGTGCACATCGAGCAATTTTGGCCACTCGATCACCAGTCTTTGCTGCAATGCTTAGGCATGAAGATACGAATGAAGCAAAAACGGTTTGTTTTGCATTCAGCCGTAACGTTTTGACTGAATGTGACTAATGGTGATATCGCAATTCAATAACAACTTTTTGAAGGGAGTGGTGGTTATTGAAGATTTGGAATATGATACAGTAACTGAAATGCTCAATTTCATTTATTGTGGACGTTGTTTAAGAGATGTGAATGAGTTTTCATTCGCATCAGATTTATTGATTGCGGCTGATAAATATCGTCTGGAGGAATTGAAAAGCCATTGCGAGAAAGCACTGGTTCAGGTTAGTTCGTTCATGGATGCTTCAATTTCTTATTGAAATGAATGCATTGCAAAGATTTCTTTATATCCACTCCATTTCAGGCATTAACGTTTGAGAATGTTTGTGAATTGTTGATAATTTCGGATATATATAGTGCGCCAAGACTCAGACAACGTGCCGTTGAGTTTATAATACAACATCCACGTAATATCACTTCAACATCTGGCTGGGAGAATGTGGTTAGACAACATCACGACCTTGTCACTGATATTGTGCGTCATTTTGATAAGTCGTTGGATCGGTCTGGATAAACACTTTACTGTTTATTGATGTGATGGTATTGGTTGGTGCTACAATAATCATTTTGTTGATCACTTTCATTGCAAGATGGTGATTGATTTCGATTGTTTTTAATGCTGACTTGCTACAGACGTCTGATGAGTAATCGTAACCGATTGAGAGATGCAACTGAATGAGCACGCAAGTTGTGCGGGCATTTGCTGTCATTCAGACAGGAATGAACGGCACAAGCTTTGCAAGAGTTTTATATGGAAGTGAGAAAAATGAATGCAAAATTTAAGACGTCGATTTGACTCGGCTCCGCTTTGTGCGCTTTTTAAAGAGTTCCTAACTGCTAATAATGAAAAAATTACAAGCCTTACAGTTCCACTGCTGTTTGATTTAACCCTTATAGAAATGACTGATATGGTTTTGATTGTTGCTGATAGCGGTGCAGTTTTACGGTGAAACATTACAACAGGCAAAATTCGTTTTGAGAAAAGGCGAGATTGATGAATTGTAACATTTGCCATATGTATCGTCTCCTAGAAAAACAAACTGGATATATGTGAGAGATAGCGGAAGACGGTGTTCAACATTGCGTCAAACGTACTGCGACAGTTTCAAATTCTAACTTGTCTTGTTCTTTAAAATGAGCATTAAGAAGCAATGATCTCATAGTGCTTATGTATTCGCAGTCTTTCATTCGAGCCACGGAGTTCACAATGACACCACACAGCAGTATGTGCCCATCGCTACGCAAAATCAATCGCAAATATGCCCATGTACACTGGCATAAATTTTTGTAAGCGTATAACTTGCATGCATTAGAACTTAGATGGAAAATATCAACAAAGAAAAGCGGAGTTCGGGGTCAACGTTTGGTTTTATATTCTGCATTGTTTTTTTTCCTTTACTTGATCACTGAGCCACATTTTTTGATCTGTTGTAAAAGGAATAATCATGACAACGTCTTGCAAATTTTGCGGTTCTAACAACGGTTGATCTCGATCTTGAGGTCGACTGGGCAGGAATCTCTTGTACGACTTTTCATTCTCTTTCGAGTGGTGTTGGTTTCATCGTGTTCGGTTACAGCGACAAGGCAGACCTCTGTTGTAAGAGCACTCAACAGATTATTGATATCTTTATCATTACTGTTCCCTTTATTATTCCTTGAGCAAACAGCCAGTCAGATTTCTATTCTTGTTTTTCATGTTTTTAACGTTTTTTCATTTGATATAGTAACCACAATTTTGTTATGAAAATATTGTAAATGACTAATCACATAAGTACACCTGTATTCAAGAATGAGTGAAGAAGAAAATTCAATTCAGTGATCTGAAATTGCTGGAGATATCAAGTCAACTAGCTGTGTATATAATCGCTTTTCTCTTAAACGAATTTTTTCAATGTTACGGCTAGATAGTGACATGATGTAAAATTAGATGTGGTGTCCAACTGATCAAATCATATATGTTATCACCGTACTATTATATCATATCGTATCACGGCATTGTTCATCCTTCAATCTCATTATTTCCAATCACCATCAATAACGTTCAGTTCGTTGAGATTGAAAGTGGATGACTATGAACTATTCAAAATCAACTATTCACCTTATATATTTCCATAAGACCGTGCTCATCATGTTGATGCTTTTGCGTTTAGCGATTAGTCAATCTATTCTATTTTGCAATTTGCTGAATATGAAACAGTAATGTGCTTGGTGTGAACAGCATTCAGTAACTTCACTTCACTTTCTGCTAGTCTTAAAAAATCATTCAACAAACCTACTGCCCTGACAATAAGATCATTGTCGTCTTAGTTAATTAGATAAATTTCTATTTTCTATTCTCTCACGTTATTGTCTGGTAAAGACCAAGAGGTTGTTGGAAACGATGAAATGATCTGGTTATCCTCATTCCAGAAATTTTCCAGCAAACGACTACGCAATCGGAGTAATAAAATGAAACAAGGTCAAGAAAGGATTGTTTCGTTCATATATGCGTAGTTGTCGTCAATTGTGTATCATTCAATGTAAAAATAATCACTCTCTTCATCAACATACCAACTCTCTTCCGTATAATTCAGTCATTTTATCGAAATTGCATTGCGTTTGACAATGAATTGAAAATTTGAACTTAATATAAGAGCAAGTGAGAAATTTGATTGGATTATTCACATGTAAACAACGTATTTTGCAAATAATTTCACTTATTCTTCATATCTAATGAGTGGGAGTAATAAAATCGTATTCATGACATAATGATGTATGTAAATAAAATTACGGGTATAGCATAAAAAATATATGGGCACACAGTCGCACATTTGAAGCAGCAGCAGCAGTCATATTGTCACCCATAATCGCCGTCTATGCTTAACTAACCTGACTATCTGTATCTTCATATGTTTTTTGTTTTTTTTTTTTTTCTCACAGTATCATCCACAGTAGATTTTCAAGCAAGAAGAGCATATTTTGCTCTTCGTTTATTTTAAAGGCTAATTTTGCTGATTCAACGTAAAAATAATCACTTTCTTCATCAGCTTAATACCAACTCAAAAGTTGCTACACAAAGATCCTCTTAATAATGTTACCACAACAGTCTTATTCTAAACACTAATTATTTCTCTAAGTTTTTTGTTTCTTTTTTTTTGTTTAGTGGACGTTAACAACAAACATCCAGTACCCACTTAATTTCAGTTGAAATTACATTCAACCATATATGCTTGTGCAATTGCTCGAACGAGAATTTTTTAAACGAATTATTGGTATTTTGAATGTGAATTGTGATCATTCATAACATTATCTTCATATTGTGCTCTATAGGTATTTTGAATACGCGACTTTTTATTGCTATTTATGACTACTATAAATTTTATTTTTGTTAAATGCAACGTATTGATCGGTCAGTCGTCAGTCACTCCAATTGTGTTGTATGGATGCGCTTATCGTTTCGACAATTCACTGTCCTCTGTTATATTCGCCGAAACGTTGTCAACGGTTCATTTCGTGATTGTGAAGAGCTTCAAAACTCATGAAACGATCGTTGTCTCGTAGAATTTCGGTTTATTTTTGTAATTAAATGAGAGCTTAGCAATATCAGTGATGTTATGGAATTCAATTCAGTTCAATGTTCTTTGATAGTTGAAAGTTGAAGAGCCATGAATGAGTTTTTCATTACGCATTTTGCTGAGCAACGTGTTTATCGATCATTCTGATCTTCATAATATTTCGGTATTTATGTATTGTAATAGTAATGATAACTTTATAATTTATTTATTTTCGAAATGTCATCTATCAATATTATTCACGGTAATATTTATTTGTTTTTTATTTTTGAAAGATGTTCATTCGTTTTATTTTGACACATTTTGTCACAGTTTTCTTCGTCAACTTGTACACGCTTCAATTTCACTGATCTTTTGTTTGTTTTTCTTTTCCTGTGCGCAGATGTTTTTTTTCGTTTACTGATATAATAATACAATATATTCATACTCAAATTTGTTCTCATTTTATTCCTTAGTTAATTTCATTGAACAGTTTGAAGCACTCAAAGAATTGCTGATACAAGTGAATAATATTTGCTGAGTGATCACTTTGTATGACTATAAAAACAGCTTGATGAGTTGATGGGAATATAAATAATATGAGTTTCAAGGCTCTAATAATATAAATAAGTTTCACTGGAAATATTTTGGTACCATCATACGCTGGCCATGTATCGGATACAATGAAACTTTACGAGCAATAATGTGTTTTCTTTCTAGCACTACCATGAGACACCGATCGCTGTTTCTTTGCATTCCACCGAAGATCCACTAGTGTTCATTTATTCTCGCAGTATTTTATTTAAGAACGAATTAGCACTCTCTCATCTATTTCAGATGAACGTCCAGGCCCACAAATGTGCTGCACTGTATGGGCAATGTTACGTTGTGCTGCAACCTTGCGGAGAAATATCGTTCACTCGAACAATGCGCTTAATATTAAGGTGTTTCCGTCCTTCCGCTGTATATCAGAATAAGTATACCTTTCGATGCACCACTAATATGAAAACTGGAATGGCTTTTTCGAAGCTGAACGANCTTAGTGACTTCCTACAGCGTCTCTTTTCACATCGACGGAACCTACTTTTTTCATATTTTGTCAGTTTTATACGCTCACAAGGTGGAACAGTATTAACACCATGCATCAAACTAGTCTCAGTAACTAGGTCACGAAATGTGAACCCATGAAGCTCATTCATATTGTCACATAAAGAAGTGATTATTCTACAACTTCTGATAGCTTCAAACAGTGAGTCGTGAGAGGAATCGTCTTATGGTTGCGATCGTACGACTAAGGCTGTACATGAAGAAACATGAAAAGAAACTCTGGAGGCAGAATTGTTATGCGTGACCTGTGCAAGCATTTCGTTTGAATGGATTATGGTAATCCTCAAAATTTCGAAGAATGAAACATTCTGATCATTTTTAACCGTCTTAAGAGGTTCACTGTGATCACCAACTGTTCTGTGTTTACACTCTCTCGAATTTTTCCTTTCTGCCTCTCCATCCTCTTCATTGAAAAGGAACCTCTCAACTGCTAGACGGATATGATGAGCGATATACGCGAAATTCCTAGTGAAACTCGTACAACTGAAGCAGTTACCATGGCTATTTTAGCCCGTTGTTAGCGTGCACGTAAATTTAGACCTGATTCTGAACTGGAGCCTAACTGCGTTCGGCTAAGATCATCCGTGAACAAATGTAGTGTTTTCCGAACTATTTCTCATCATGCTCTCATCCTCAGTGGCAGTATTTTCACTAATATTTCGCTCGTAAATAATCCGGAACGATTTTTTATTGATAGTGTGTGTTGTGATATGATCTACGTGATCAAATATCAATGGGTGATATGAATTGTGATATTCGTTGTAATTGATCTACATGTTTGATCGATATATAAGCAGCAACTGTAACTGATTGTGAGCACAGCGTTTTGTAGTAGAATTCATTCCGTGTAATTTTCATTGTAATTTCATCCGTGTAATTTCGTGTAATGTATCGTCTATTAGTTGGTTTTAATAAACGTCTAATACAACTGTGGACCTACAACAGTATGGATATCGCTGGAATAGTTGATCGACGACTGAACTCCTTCGCTGTCATGATTTCACATTACAGCATTCAGTCATTCGACCTGCTCAACTCAAATGAATTCATCGAAATATTTTCTATATAGTCTGAACCGAATGACTGTGGATGACTTGCGATTTTCATGCTTTGAGTAATGATTATTATTACTATTTCTATTTATAGTATCGTTGTTATCATCATTTATTATTATTACTATTATTATTGTTGTTATCATTATTGTAATTATTATTATTAATATATCTTATTATTGTGTGTTAATATTATACATTATATATTATACATTAATATTATATTATGTTATTATCTTGATATTGGTCACGATAACTCAAATGGTCTCAAATGGACACAAATGGTCAAGATTCAATTGCCGTACTCAAATTGACACCATCCATCAATTTGCCGAATTGAGTTGTTCAGCATTAGCAATCGAGTGTTATGTGCTTGCCGATCATAGCCCAACATTTGGTCGGAGATTGCCACAAAATTATTCGGAATTTTGTCGTTGGTCACGTTGAACGAATACGAACTTTATTGCATACATACGATTATCGATTGCGGACAGAAGCGTGATTTGCGGGCGAATTTATGTGGGGTGGGGGTGTATGCGTGTTTTTTGACGTTTTTTATTTCTTTGAATGAGATTTCCGAAGAGGTTCGTGTGGGGGCATTGCAGGCTGCAGTTTTGATTCAACAGAGGCTAAATTGATGAAAAGAAGTGTGCATGTGTGTGGCAGATACATTTGAAGCAGTCGGCCACGAATAGAATCGTGAATTAGTGCTCAGACACGCATTTTTGGAACGGTCAGCATGATAGCAGTAATGAGGAGAAGAATAATAATATCAGTTATGCTACCTTGAGTGGTGAGAAAATGATGCTTAGAAAGCTAATGTTGTTGCGGAACGTTTCGATGTAATACGTTAGCTTCAGCCGCACGAATGTATCGATTGATAACTTGTCATGTGATTGAGCGAATATTTTTTCATAATTACTCTTCTTGGTTTTGCTTGAACTTGAGATGGTTCAAAACTTAGATGCTCAGCTTTTACAAGTTATTTCCAAAGGATGTGCGTTTTATTTCGAAACTATAGGTAGCTTTACTTCTCATTTCACTGATACTGTTGAGATGTACGTGATACTGCCTGGAACTTATTCATTAATTTACTCTTACATTTTGTGCTCTCGTTGATGGCCAGTTCCATAACTCGGTGTATGCATACAGATTGTATTTAACCTATTGCAGATTTTAAAAATGAATAAACTTTGACTTTTGAATGAAGACATACTTCATCGGATGATTGTATTTGAATTGAACGTTCAGATGAATATCTCGTTCGCTCTAGTAATTAAAGGTTATCTGCTTAAGGTAATGTTGGCCAATCTTAATCGAGCCCTAGCAATTTCGTTCAAGCATGTGCGCGCACTATCAAGCAGTGTTGCAAGTGCTTCATCGTCCACAAACAACACTCAGTTGCCGATCAATAAAGAAGCACCAAAGGTAGACTTTATCTTAAGAACTGTCGTTGATTAAGTCTATGGTTCAACTGAATAATCGTTTTCTCATAACCGTCGAACTGAATTCTGGTGTCGCATACTCACAATCAGATGATGTCGCATAAAATTCGCGTTTATTCTTACTAATGTCGTTCGATAAGTTTTGGTCGAAACTTTCTCGATAAAGTTGTATTTACCAGAAGAGCTTGAATTGAGAGAGAAGGATGCATATGTGCATGAATGTTTAGTGCTCATAAGCCTAATAGTGATAAATTAGGGGATAATGGGTAAATTTGGAACTCCATTCACGGGCCCGATGTCGGCGGGCGAATATGCGTTAGCAAGAGTGGATGATGTGATCAATCTGTGTCAGCGTAACTCATTATGGCCACTAACGTTCGGCCTGGCATGTTGTGCCGTTGAAATGATGCATTTCGCTGCGCCGCGTTATGATATGGATCGTTACGGTGTCGTTTTTCGTGCATCACCCAGGCAGGTTCGTTCGTTTTCGGGATTATCTTCCGATTTCATTTCGTTCATCTCGATTTGCAGTTGATTCGTCGAACTCGTTACTAGAATCAAATGTTCGTCAGTTGGATCATAATGGCTTATAAACATCAGAAGGAACGCTTATAATGGCACTTTCATTTTTAGTTCAGCCGAAAAATCATCCGTCAGTCGACGATTGTTTTAGGTTGATTTGATATTCATTGCGGGCACTGTAACCAACAAAATGGCACCTGCATTGAGACGTATCTTCGACCAAATGCCTGAAGCGAAGTGGGTAATCAGTATGGGTTCATGTGCGAATGGGGGTGGTTATTATCATTATGCGTATTCGGTTCTGAAAGGCTGTGATCGTGTTATACCAGTCGATATTTACGTTCCTGGATGTCCACCCACCGCCGAGGCACTTCTTTACGGAGTGCTGCAATTACAGAAGAAAATCAAACGAAAGCGAGAGGCACAACTTTGGTATAGACGATAAACGCTGCAGTGTTGCTGCTCTATTTTAGATGAATAGATTTTGCATATGTTGTTCGTTTATTCAACATTATTCTTCAGTTGTTAGATGAATGGATTTTTGTTTCATAATCAACCAAAGCGTTTGGTTATAAGCAAAAGTGTTATAATGATAAGTATTCATCGTTTTCAGCGAAGTTACTGTTTTCAGTAAAACTGAATTATTTGTCGACTTGTTGCCAAAACGATACAAATTTGTGTTTTCATTTTTGAAACGATTGTTAACAAACAGTGCGCAAAGATTCATGATCGACTGATGTATATTTGTGTGGAAGGTAAAAATGCCTCATGATTAATTCTATTGAATATAATAGCAATCGAACAACACTGAATTTGTATATGATTGTAATTCAGAGATTCATTAACTATCGTTGTTGCTGTTGGTGTTTATTTAGTTTTGCAACAATACAATGATGATTATTCATATAATAAAATGATTTTGCTAGAATTAAGAGAGTGATGGAATTATTCTGCAACGATATAAAGGTTGAAATCACCTCAAGTCAACTGGCACATCAACAGTGTCGTCAGTTCTATTTATACAATTTTGTGAATTTTTGAATTTGAAAATAAGGAAAGGATCTTGAATCGTGTTGTTGGGTCATCAATACCCCTCAGCATAGTGTATCCTTTTCCAACAACAATTGTTGTGTGGTGTTGTTATGTTCATGAAATAGTCATATTAATGTTGCTCTTATACATTTGTGTTCTGTTGTTTCTTATTCGTTTGTGCAACAGTCACATTCTTCTTAAGCCAATGCACTTGCAATATAAGCTCGGAACTATAATTCTGATATGTGATTTCTGATATTATTATTGTTTGATCTGCTGGATTTGAGGCCGCATTGTGATTGGTATGTTTCTTGACTTTATTCACCTACGTATTAAATAAAAGTTCTAATTCATTTCATTATTTGCAGCAGCAAAATCGTCATCTAATAAGATATGGTAGTTCTTCTTGTTGCTAAGATGGCTGTAACTAGTATCTGTCTGAATCGCATATCTTAGTGTCTTATCAAAGAAAAATTCTCAAAAAGTTGATTATGTATTCTGTTCTAATCAGTTAACTGTTTGGTGCTAATCTGTCTCTTCTGGTTATTGTTATCGTTCGCATTATGCTGTGAGTATTGCAAGATAATGTAAACCATAAGCGCCGATTATTCGAGTGAGCCTCTGCATCCGAATTCATCTGTAGACTGTTTGTAGTGCTGTTGCATACATGTGAAGTGTACCTGTTGTTCTATTCGAGTATTATTGTTTCTTCAAATGTACAGAAGTTGAAGTACAAAATGAATTAGTTTATGCAGGTTTCGGCTCACAGACCCATCAGTAGGCAACCTCAAATTTGAGCTATGGGAAACACATGACGATCAAATAGAATGCATTCATATACGTTCGAAACAGTAACCCAAGTGAAAATGTTCATCAAAGATGAGATGCCCCATGATACTGATATGATATCTCTTGGTGCAACCAAAAATGATTCGAACACTAGTGTCGATTCTTACAACTGCTCTTGTGTTTTGTTTGCAGATGAATCTTGTCAACGGTGTATCTTCATAGTGCAACACAAGCAATAGCTGTAGCGTCTTGCTAGGTTTTAGGCAGTTCAAATTGAGAAACATCATGCGTAATGAATTGTTGGAGATGACCAAGAAAATGAGAAAAGAGTTAGAGTCATTTCGTAAAACTCAGAAAGGCGGAAATCATTCAAACTGCTGGAGGGGAGAGGGGGAGGAAGGAGCTCGCTTCCATTCAGATGCATAAAGGGACGGACGTCCAGTTATCCATGTCGTATTTGTCTGTCTATTTTTCATCATCTTTCCATCGAAACTTAGTTAGTAATACAAAGAGAACCTTAAAAGGAAAGGAGCCCAGGCAAACGAATATGATACTTTAATGCTATTGAATGCCTAATATTTGTCGCTGTATGTGGTATGTATTCCGATTGATTAATATTCTTGATTAGTGAATACAGTCAAATCGAAATGTGAAACATCGCATTATGTTTAAATAGTGAATGTGTTTCTGAATTAATCAATTCCTCTCAGATACACCACATAAGTAATAATAATAATATCAGTATCTATTCATTAATTACAAGTAGTCACCAAGTTTCGTTCAGTTGATATCTCGTCTCCATTTGCTAAATGCCTTTTACAGGATTGTTTCAAATTTAATGGTGAATGAATGGCGTCAATGAGTAAAGCTGATTTGGATGCAATTGAGGTTAGATTCGTTCATTAGTCTAATTTATTGATCAATTCATAATCAGACGTGTTATTAATGCTAATATTCCATTATGCGAACAGTTTGTTGACTATTGAAGAATATATATATGTGTATACCAGGGGTCCCCATAGAGGGGAAATTACCCATTTTTGAGTAAAATAAGGGCGTCAGGGAGGGGGGTAATGAAGGGGAACGGGAAATTAGTTCTGACGTTATGCGTAGAAACAGTAAATTATTGTAACGGGAGGGAGAAGGGAAGGTAGTGTCAGTGTGCCAGACCATCGAAGGGGGTACGCGAGCACCTGGGGACCACTGGTTTATTCATCATGCTGGTCGTTGGTATTGTTCGCTTGTATGCAGTGCATCTTTATTCGTTTAACAGTTGTTGTTTAATTAATGAAATGATGAATCAATCGTACAGTGAATTATAATAATCGCTGAATTATGCTGACATTTTCGATGACCAGTTGAATAATTGATTTGTGAATACTGTGACTCTGATCTGAAAGCGCATTGATCATCATTCTCTCCCCATATCAGCGAATTTGTGAAGGGTTTGGATCGTAGAAGGCAGATAAATTGAATGTTGCACTTCGTATATTTCATTTCATCCATCTATATTAGTGGTTCTTATGTTGTTGCGCTCCGTGCACCAATTTGATTATATAGAAGGTCGCTATTCCCTCTCATCTAACGGTCCACCTGATTGCACTCCCCCTTCCGTGATAATTTGTTATCTATTAGCGACAAATCAGAATGAAATGGGGAAATTGATGCATTAATCAAGAAGTTTGATGTCAGAATTTGTTGATTGTTTGTAAGGATCAAATCCTTCTGTTTGAACTAACGTTTTAATCACATTATTGGTCAATCTAAGGAGGATTATGGGAAAAAATTAATCAAGAATGGCTTACCTACCTCCTTAGTTTCCCTCTGATACTCTCTAATTCTCCCCGAATGGGAGATCTCCCCGTGTGAGAGTCATTTTTCTGCAGTGATCATTTTTGAATGTTAAATGAACTGAACATATTTCCGGTGATATATTTTGAAAGGTGTTTTTATATCGTCATATGGTCGTTTTAATATTAACTCTATCTTTTACGATTTTCTGGTTGCGTTAAATGTTATGTGCTACCGAGATTGAGTGAATGTTATTCCCTAACAGTCGTCAATTTCTTGATATTACTCAGTTGCATATATGTATCTGGATTGCTGATCACTCATCATATTCTCCCTAATAAGTTTACTTCTCATACGCGACTCTGAAAAATTCATTCCATCCGTCCATTCATCCATCTGTTCCATTGTCCATTTATCAACTTTGGTAAATGGCTGCATCATTTGCAGTCGCAATGAATTGGAATATGTAAACAAGCTATTGAAACAACATGCCAAAATTTCTTTCTATTGCGTACTGAAATCATCTCGCACTCTAATCTTTTGTTGTTCAGCTTCAGAAGAAAGGTTCACTATGTCTGAAAACTCAAACTCAAATTTGAAAACATCGTGAGCCTTCGCTGTTAATGCACAATAGCGCTATCTTCTCATCCATCAGCTAAACATTCTTGATCATTTGAAAAAAACCCAAATCATTCTTACAAATTTGTTGTTACCAAAATTAGTCATTTTGCTTATATGTGTATACAAAATAGCATATGGCAATAATTTGCCTAAACTTTTTACTGCTACACATTGATTGTTTACGGTGTTGAGTGGTGTTTACGATGTCGTACTGCAATGACAATTTAACGCGCAATTCCATGTTCAAGTTAGCAAATTTCTAAGAAACAGGTGATAACCGCCGTTGATAGTTCATCATTCGAGGTGGTTTTTTTTCATTAAACTTCAATGTATGTTCAGAGATGAAGTAGTGCACCGTACCTTTCGGTAGCGGAGTTAATAACAAGATTTGAACGTTACCCACCCATATTGCCGTACTTTCCTCAATCAAAAGTAATGATTAACGATATTATCATCAGTATCATTTGATGATTTATTTCATTTATAGCAAACACTGCAACAATTCCGCGTCAACGAACTGCACGTTCTTTTATCGACATTCCGTTGTCCGAAATTAGGCAAGAAGCACGAATTGATACAGCGGTATGATGATGACTATTACTATTGCTATTATTATTATTATTATTATTATTATTGTTATTATTATTATTGTTGTTGTTATTATTAATAGATTGTTTGATTGATTAAGTGGTTTGTTGATTCCTTATCCTTTCATTTATCTCTATTTTTGCCATATTCTAAAACTTTTCGACAGTCACACAGTTGGGATGAGGTTGAGGGCAGAAGAGATTCTGTTGCTCTGACTGAATGCATCGAAGTTGATGTGTGCATGACCTCTTCAGTTCAACTCAGCTCATCATAGCAATTATTCATTTAGGATTTATTTGTCAACAGTTGAAAGGGAGTAATCGAAGATTCAATTTCTTCCATTCCTGCGAAATAAGCTTAAGCGAATCTCTCAAACTGTTTCGAATTGTCACTAACTTTAAATCAATTTGGAAGTTTCAGTTGAGAGAAAATTTTTTGGTTTTCGGAATTTTAATGGAATTCATTTTTGAAATTAAAATTTCACTACAGAGCTCGGAATATCACTGCGAAATTTATGCAGAAAGTTTGAAGTTGCAAATTCAGAAAGAGAAATTGGCAAAATATCGTCTGAGATTCAAATTTTCAATTGCAACTGATGAGAATATGTGAATGGAATTTGAAACACATTGAAATTTATCTCACAAAAAGAAAAAAAAGGTGAACAAAAAAAGAACCTTATCCATGGAGTAGATTCCAGTTTTTGTCCTGCAGACGGTCTAACCTTAAGTCTCATTGCACGCTTCAGTTCTAATTTTTTAACCCTTATCCACGTACGTCGCATCATCTACGTACACGTGCGCACTTCGTTTGTTGTGATCTGATGTTGCAACAACGCATTTCCATGCATTGCTTTACTTTTCAGTGATCGTGCCCTACGCAGTTACACTGATTCTTTCAACAGTCTCATCCTTTTTAGACACCCGTTCAGCAATTCACTTAAACTTTCCTAACCATTTATTCAAACACAGTGCGCTGTACAAATGCTCTTATTGCTTATAAAATGACTATCCGGGAAGAACCTTCTTATACATCTTCCGATGCGCCTAGGATCTACTGTTGTTGCCTTACAATTAGTAGTTTGCTGCACCTAGACTGTGATAAATCTCGGAATCTATGCGGCTTCTCTCGACCTGATGGTAAGTTTCTTTTGCCTAAAATGCTTCTGTGCTCTGTTTTGCACGATTTCACGAGGTTCATTGGAAAAACTTTGTCTTTGCATTGATTATGTCTTCTATAAATAAGAGGTGAATTGTAGGCAGGCACATCAATAGCACTGTAAAAGGTTAATAGAGAACAATTAACTACAGATGATCTGTTCTATGGTTTTGTTGGTCTGATTAGCTGATGCGTTTCTTTAAAAAATTATTGTTTACAGCACAAACAGACTTAATCGCAAGAACTTGAAATCAGGCATTCATTCCTAGTAAGAGAAGAATTAGAGAACAATAATATTTTGTTTTCGAAGTTGACCTTACCAACGTGATTTTGAAAGACAAACACACTTTACTGCGCTCAGTGACATGAATTTCGTCGTGAGCAAAGCTACTGCTAAACAATGTGACGTCAAGAAGTTGTCGTTGACGATGTCTTAAGAATGCCTCAATAACGAACGTGTTCTTAGTGACGAGAGCGTGACATATCTACTGAACCAAGCGATTTTTCGTAACAAAATGTTACACATACGAAATTGAAGGGTATTTCGGATGATTTGCTGAATTTCTTTTCAAGCTCAATTTTCTGTAGGCTTTATGGCATCATGTTGTAGCCATTTCAATCCAACTAAATTATTTATAAATTTGAATGTAATTAAATGCAAGTTTATATCAAAATGTCGCACTTACATGGACGAGGGTTAAAGACGGTAGATAGAGCGTATTGAACTACGTGATTTTTTTAATGTGTCAATCTAACTGATTTTATTTTCCCGAGATTTAATGATTTTCTGATTCTTTTTTATGCTCTCAAAATAGGAACGTAAACTCTTAGAATAGATTTTCTTCACATTTATTTGTATCGCAACATAGAACGAGCGTAACATTTTTGTTCAGTTTTAATACACATCCAAATGATGTATGAATAGTGCACTCAGTTTTGTCGAGAAGTATTTTTTAGCTGGGAGCGGGAGTAGGGGACTTCGGAGAGAGATTATTGGTGGGGAAGGGCCAAATTGCAGACAGAAAGTTTGTCCGAGAAGAGTCCCCATCATGTTCCCACTTCTCAAAAAAGAGCATGAAACAACACCCGGAAGAACACCTGGTCGTAATTCGAAGTGGATAAATTCGTTAATTCCAGCCAGAGCAGTTGTTGATGGTGTCAACTTTCATTCATAGTGTAAAACATTAGCATTTCCACTAGTGAAATGTTGCTGGGTTTGATAGCATCACAAAGATATTATAATTACAATAATAGGGCGTTTGATTGGAATCAGTTGTTTCCATTGATCATTTTCTAAACAATCCTTGGAGGTGCTACTTCATAACCCGTCATGTGCACCTTTAACTTATTTGTGATTTACCAATTTCATGCCTCACCGATGATGCCTATGAACGAACTCGATTCGTAAACACTTCAAGTCTTAAATTGTTTAACGGCCAAACTATATTCCCGTAAGAATTGCAGACATCTCTAATACACGTTTTGGCAACTAGTCGTTGGTTTTTCTAGTAAGTCACTTATTGACAGTTGATTTTTAGTCTGTCGAGTAGAGGTTTTATTTGAATAACAGGTAATGCGAGATGTGATAATGAAGCAAGGAATTATTTGTTTCAAACATGTTGCAGCTAGTGATTTTTCTATGCCACAATTTTAGCGTACTCCTCCTTACGTTCTCTTCTTATGAACTGTTTCTGTTTCTGTTCTGCACTACAACTATTTTTAAAGCAATTTTTTTCTGTTCTACTCCCCCATTTCGAGTTTCTTCTTTTCTGCAACCGCACCCAGTTTCTCAGCTACTTCGTTCTATTATGGTAGAACAGAACAGGATTGGAAACGAGGCGAACAGCTTATGATTAGCTGCAACAGGAAGGTGACTAGTTACAGCATGTTGTACCTTGGTGTAAGTCGATTCCGCAAAAACAGTGACAGATCGTTAATCCAACCTTTCTATTGTACGAATATGAAACTGAGAAGTGTATAAATTGAATTTAAAAAAACACGCAATTCAAGCAGTACAAAAAGAATAGTTTCATTATGCTCGATGCAGAAGTTCGAGGTGTGCTGAATGCAGTTCTATCAAAACACAAAATTGAAAGTATTCTACATCTACTAAAATCGTCCATTCTGTCAAGACGTTATCTCGAAAAGTTTCGAGTGCTTCGATTCATTCCGAATTTCGGTTTCCGTTTTCAAAGTGCAAAATTAGAATTCCAAATTTCGAAATGAAGGCGAAAACGAAAATTCGATAAGGTTTTCCGAAAGTAATCAAACTAATGATGAACCCGAAGATGATCAAAGTGGTGATGGTCGTTTGGGTTCATTAGGCAGAGTCTAGGACATACTCGTATCCATACTGCAATTTCAGTGCCAATCGTGCGTGCTTGAACCATGGACTTATAGGTTATACATGCTAGAGAATAACGCAATAACGTTTTTCGATGATGCGCATACAGGTAGCGATAGCGACTCCGATTTCTGAAGTAAACTTAGGGCAAGTGAGACACGTTCACATTCGTCAAGCGGTTGAACTTAGATTCTGCGTTCTTCATCTCTTCTCTTGTGTTAGCTATTATGCATTTAATCAATCAATCAACCAATCGGCTTTATTCATCAGTGTTTTTACAAAATATATGACGCGGTGATGATGTTGATGATAGATTTTTGGTTTGGTTGCAGTTGCATTGGATTACTGCAAAATTCACGAAATCAAGGTGCAGTAATGCAAAAAATTCATGAAATAAACGCAAGCCGTCGTTATCATGCGTTGAGTACGCAATCGTCAACGAATTCGAACTCAAGCACTAGTTCTGGTGGTCAGTCGTATCAAATGGATGCTGGCAGTTCGCTGAGCGGTGCGGCAGCAGCCGCAGCAGCAGCAGCTCAGGCTGCAGTAGCAGCTCAGGCAGCAGCAGCTCATCAATCACTGTACACACCGCAAGCGATTCAGCCAAACATGATTCAACGACAACCACATCACTTCATGCCTTCCGCACAACCACCGCATTCATTCACGTCGCATTCATTGTTCAATCGAGCTCGTTCCTTACGAATTGTGAAATTACCATTCTATGATAAGGTGTGTTTCTTTTATTCATTCCGCAGCATATCAAGTAAAAATTGATTCGTCGTTGTGTGTTGGTTGGGTGAATGTGTATGAAAGGAAAATAAAGAAAGAGTGTGTGAGTGAATTTATGAAAAGTGATGGATTGAATCTATGAACTTTTTGTATGGGGTAAAAGATACTTATTGAGTCGTGTTGTTGTTTCAATAATGATTGCTGATACATTCAGACGAAGACGTTACTTGAGTTATCAGAACTACCAGCGTCCTCATCGACAATTCGTCAAACATTACGAAGTGCTTTCAAATTTATTGTTCCTTCAGACGTTTTACGGCTTCTTAATTATAGGTAATGTTCAGTTTTGTTCATCTTTCGATTGTTCGTATTCTTTTCTTTTATTTTTGTTATGATATTCGACAGTATTCTTCTTCATTTCATACCCAAAAGTTTAGAAATGAGCCAGCCGTTCTGCCTCGTGTTGAGGTTCAGATGCGATTCTTTTTGTTGGATCCTTCTAAGGAACAAGCCGATGATTTTCCACCAAATTGTGAGGTGAAGATCGACAATACAGGTGTTCCTCTACCGGTCGGTTTCGATTGGTTAATTCTTCAACGGTTCACGTACTTAACGAACTTATTTTAGTCTCAAAAGTGCTGCTTTCTTCTCGTATTCTAGTGAACCAAGAATGTTTCCGTGTATGAGTAATTTTCTGGGTATTTTCACACGAGTGTTTCTACAGTGTTCTTCAACATAGTATTATGCAAACACAACAGTCATTCGTGATTCGATATGCTGATCATTGAGAATTCAGACACAACAACGATATTTCAGAATGTTATACCAACCAATAAACCAAATGTTGAACCGAAACGTCCCAGTCGTCCGGTGAATATCACCCCGTTTGTACAGTATCATCGCGAAGTAGACAAAGAGCATAAGGTACTTATTGAATGGTCAGCAGATCGACGTGCTTGGGCAGTGGGAATTTTTGTGGTGAATCGATTAACATCTGAGATCTTGTTGTATGTTTCGAGCTAATTTCGTGAACTATTTTCTTTTACTTGCATCGCTTATTCATTTTCATGGAATTTGATGGAGAATCCTTTGGATTATTTTTCCCCACTACTACGATGTTCATCTGCAGCCTTTAACGCAAACAACATGTCGAAAGCTTTTCTTTAAAAGAAAAGCCGTCATGAAACACGATGCTTAGTCGAAAGCGAAAGCACTTCTTTAAAACAAGTGGCTGTAATGATTTGAAATCCCGTTCACTTGTCAGTAATGTTGCGTTTATGAGTAGTAATCTGATAGTTCAATCTTCACTGTTAACTAAACTGTTACAATTGATGATCCACTGTTCATTTTGTTACTGTTAACATTCATTTGATTTGTTATCAATAATAAGCACTCATATAAGTGAAGCACAGCATAATTTTGCTGAACGAATCCGATCCTTCGACCACACACACAGTGCTGCTGTGTGAGAATGTTATGAGCCAATTTTCTGAGAAGATTGTTTCTGATTGACTATATGAACACCGCTGATTGATGGGTAGGGTATTGATGGGAATGGAATCATCAGCTATAACATAGCTGATCAATAGTCAATGATTGATGGATTTGTTCAGTGGGTCGGTTACTCGAAACGAGTGTTTTATTAGTCTTATTAGGTAATGGTTGATATTGCATCTCAGGAAACGTCTAGTATCAAATGTGCATGCAAGACGTGATTTATTCGTTACGAAGCGAGCAATCAGCGAAAAATTACGTGATGATGATGAAGACGATGGTGTGCAAATGGAAAGTATCAAATTCACTCTACTTTGTCCGGTGAGTTGCTCACTTTAGATTACTAACTTTTTCCATTGAGTATATAAATGAACTGTTGGTTTAGTTGGGTCGTACTCGGATGGTCACGCCAGTGAAAGGATACGATTGTGAACATTTGCAATGTTTCGATCTAATGCTCTATCTGAAAATGAATGAAAAACGCCCAACATGGAAGTGCGCCATTTGCGACAAATCAGTTACATACGAGAATCTTATCATTGACGGGTAATTCATTCAAGCTCACTTCATTGAGAGAACTTTATTTATTTCATTTCGTTTAAGAGTATTATGTTGAGCATGCAGTTCACTATTCATGTTCACTACCATTCATCTTCTACTCACTTCCTAAAAATTATACATATATTGTGTTTATTACATCTCATCTTATTGCTGCTATAGACGACATATTGAAGCAAGCATGTTTTTTTTGTGGATTTTTGTTTGTGTGGTGTCTTTCCATTTGATTGTGATGCACTTGCCCAAATTCAATTGGTATACTCATAGTAGTGTTGAAAAAGGGGGATTCTGACGGGAGAAGATCGTTCCTCCTGCGGATGTTTCGTTTTTGCGGGAGATTCCAGGGCTTTCATTACCAGGATCATTTGAAGAGTTGAGACGCTTTGACCTTTGTCTTTTATGTGCAAAGTCGTTTCAATAAGGAGTCATTGAACGCTAATTTAATGAAATGTAAGAAAATACTTTATAACAGGAGCTATTTTTCTGTAATTCATTCTACTTCATTGGTTTTCAACCCTTTTTTGGCCTATCGCCCACTTCGTTTAGCAACTCATCCAGTCGCTTCCACATTCAATATTACTCTGAAAACGATAAGGTAAGCAAAAACATAGAGATGATTATGTTATATATTTGCGGAAAGGCAAGAAAAATCTCACCATCCTTGTCTGAAACAAAAGTGCCATGTGAGCTATAACGAATTAAGGAAAATGAATGTAAGAAAACGAAAGGCATGCAAGCAGATTGGCATAAGGGAATTGAAATGCGAGAATGAACGATGAAAATGATTGAGAGGTGACTTGTTCAAATGCGACAGATTATTTATCACACCTATAAAATGCGCTATTGTTATCAGTACGTACGTACAAATTGGGAGCTATTGTTATCAGTACGTACGTACAAATTGGATACGTACAAATTTCCCGAGATCACCGTCCAATCAGTCACTTTGGATTTCGGCTGATGGCCACCAAAAGTCAGCTCATCTTGATTCCATCTGATAGGCATTGAAAATATTTTTTTTGTTCGGTTCCAGTTGGGGAACCGAAATTCACTGTTTGTTTATGTCATCACTTTTAACTTTGCCGTCGTTATGAGCTAGTCATCGGAGCAGTATTACTTCACATCATCTGTAGTAATGTAACACTTCATTTCGCGAATAACGTCACATCCCAAGAAACTGAATTTATGAATGTAGAAAACAAGAAACAAATTAAACACCGTTAAATCAACAAAAAACGAAAGAAAGCAATAAAATCTAGGTGAAAAACGACCAAAGGAATGCTCCCGTTATTTATTTATGAATATCGAAAGAAAAAACCGCAGCAAAAATCGACAGAAAACATCTGTATTTGACAATTAAAAGAATTTATTTTTCAACATGAACGCTGCAAAAAAAGCGGTTTTCAAACGCCTCCTTTTGTTTGTAATCACTTTCATTCGTTTGCAAATACATAAAATACTTCAGTGGACACATCTAAATTGACTTTATCGGGTGGATATCGCATAAAAGGGAGCTTTACCTTTGATTCCTGCGTCTCTGCACCTGAAAAAATACATGGAATTATGTTACAGTGGGCGATTCCGTAAATCTGTCCGCAGTTGACCATCTACTGCATTTTCCTGAGCATGGTGAGGGTCCAGGATGCATGAAATTCAACACTGACAAGGCTTGCTTGTCAGTTTGTGGCCACCGGTAAAGGGGCGGTTCAGTCCTTTTCGACTTCAGCCGTCGTCCACTGAAATAGTCCTCGGTCGGTAGTCTCGAAAACTAATTTCAAGGGCTGTAGCATCGCCTCACGATCATTCTGAGATTGTTGCACAGTGTGGGGTGTTGCACTAATTAGTTAATAGGTCGTCTCAAACACATCGGCAATCCTAAGTCCAAACACGGAGTAAACCTCAGACTGAGCCTCATTACAAGCCTCAACCTGATCCTCGTTGCGAGCCTCTGCTCACATCCTACGGTGAACCCCCACCGAAGTTCAGGATAAATCTCAGCTTGAGGATAGGGTAAGCCCCAACCTAGGTTTGCGTTAAATCAGTCTTAGTCCCTCGATAAGCCTCATCTCAAGATCGAGATGAAACCCACCAATACGGAAGCTTTAACCTATGCATCGATGAAGCCGTAATTTAAATCTGGTTGTTGGTCTGAGACAAAGCCCGTGCTTGGACTTAGGATTGCCGAGGTGCTTGGGCTTAGGCTGATCGTGTGGCTCAGGTTGATGCTAGATTGAAATTCGAAATGCGACAAAGGTTAAGGTTTACCTGAGGACTCAGTCCATGACTTTGAAAGTGCGGCAAATTCCACTCACCTATTCCTCTTGGTTTAAGTTGAAATTTTAAAGTATTGAAGGCATTCCGCTAGTTTATTGTTCTGAATTCAAAAGTTCGAGCCGTTGCAACCAATTTTGCGCAATTTTGGTCGCAGAAGTGAAGATCCGGTGTGAAATGTTTTGAAAATGGGAAACTGTAATTTCGAATTTCATAATGACTTAAAATTCGAGTATCATGGTGGGGCTTGATCGTCACAAATTGTTTGTGTGAAAAAAATGGATAGTGTAAATGTGCAATTGGTTGTTTTGGTTGTCGTTTAGGTATTTTGAGCAGGTACTGAAGAAAGCCAGTCGAAATGTCACTGAGGTGGAGTTGTTAGCGGATGGTGAATGGCGCCCGGTTGTGGAACAACGAGATGAATCATTGTCGGACGGTGCCGATGACGAGATACCGTCGAAGAAGTTGCGTTCATTCGCCGCATGTCCACTCAACAGCCATCATCGTATCTCTTCTGCGCCTTCAATCACCGCTCAGTGCAATAGTAACAGTAATGCTGCTGGCATGTGTGCATCATCATCTGCTGCAGCTTTTGACGATGATGTGATTGTTCTCGGAGATAGTGATGATGAGGTAAATTCCTATTATTATTATTGTCATTGTTATCATTATTAGTATTGAATTAAGTGAACCACTTTGTCACCGGTCGAATGCAGGATGGAAGTGATATATATGCTAGAGTTGCATATTCTTATTTTTTAGCATGATATGATAGAATGAAAAGTTGGTTGTGCATTGGATAATAATACAAAGTTACTTGAAATGATTAAGTTAAGTGGCTCCTTTTTAATGTAAGCTAACATATTTGTAATAATTGTTGATTAAAATCAGGTGGAGGAAGTGGTCAGTGCAAGTGCATCAACAGCAGCGCTGACGAACCTTCGTTTGAATGGTGCGGTGATAAATAATAATAGCAGCAGTAGCAGCGGCAGCATGAATAACACAAGAGGCTTGCCGACATATCATCAACAGCAACATTCCACTTCGTCTTCTTCATCGGTTATGTTCCCTTCAGCTGATAGTCGATCGAATTCGGTATCGAATCAATCAATTATTTGTATCGATCTCGACGATAGTGACCCCACCGAAGCGGCTGCACAGATGCGATCTGAATCGCAATCTTCGTCACAGTCGTTGTCAAAGTCCCATAACGCAATAACAACATCTCGATCACTCCACTCGCCACCAATCACCAACAGTAACAATCAGTATTTTTCACTCATTTCACAACAGCAAATCAATGTGTCAACAGCAGCAGCAGCAGCAGCATGTGTATCGTCAGCTACTGCAGTTTCAAGCAATCAAACCCCGCCGTCCTCAGCACAGTTCTTTCCATTCTATTCGCCTCCCCCGCCGCCACCTCCCACTCTTCCCAGCAGTGCTGCTGCTGGTATCCCCTTCATTCATGGCTTGGATACGACCTACCCAGTCTTCCAAGATCCATATAATCCAATTATTGCCGAACAGCTACGCAATTTCATGGCAAGTATTCACCAAACAGCTGGTTCATCTCGTCGATACAACTGACAAAAGGAATCACTTCTATTTACATATTCACTGTTCCCTTCCTCCATCGATTCGCTGGTGATTATTCATATTCTACCATATCGCCAGAGAGAATTTATTTATCAGTTTTGTTGTTCAGTTGCTTTTCTCGCCGTCATCATTGTCATGATGATTGTGTTGATTACCAAAACAACTCTCTCTATCTATTTCTATTCAGTTCTGAAAAAATTAATGAATGCATCTCTCAATGCTTTTTCATCGTTTTCCGTACCACTTGAAGCGTTTCACTGTTGTTGTGGGTAATAATCGTTTATGTATATATCGTACATGTATATCTGTTGCATTATCATCCATAGGTGGCATATGCTGTCAAAAATGTTCAACCTAATTTTTCGTGGATATTTATTTGCGAGCAGCACATTTCATTTCCAGGTCACATTCATGTCTTCTCCACTAATCGGTCATTATTTCTGAAATTTTCGTTCGTTTAGTGTAAAATAGGATAGGCCTCTTGTGCACGATATACGTCGAGCTTTATTGATTTAAATATTTCTCGAATACACTTTGATCCCATTAGTTATCTTTTGACTTTACTTTTTTTGCTTTGTTCAATTTTTGTAAAGAAAAATAATCTTTTTTGATAAGTTACTTCCATTCTAGAATATGTCTTATTTTACTTATGTATTCTAAAAGAAAGGGGTTTTTGTGCAACAAATTCATATGCTGGTTGAAAGAGTGCTTCTGTGAGAGAAGATTTCTAGCTTATTTGATATGTGTGTGTATTGTTCATTCGTGAATGCCGTCTAGTTGTTTTTCCAACACCGCCGAATTCTGCGCTCGCGCATTATTCAAGATCTCACCCGGAACTGTTGCACATGGCCGATCGTGTCGCTACAGCAAATCAGTAGTGTCGATCGCACATTGCCACAATACAGCTTCTCAATTAAACTTTTCAGTCAGTATTTCTTCCTTTATAGAGTAATAAAGGAAGAAGTACTGACTGAAAAGTTTAATTGAGAATCCCCAAATTGCTGAATATTATTATTGTTATTATTATTATTGTTTGGCTTCATTGTTATCAATAATGCGTTTTGTTTTTTATTGATGATGTTTTTATCTGACTCTTGGTCAAACAGTCCTATTGCTCATTCGTAATGTTTTCGTCTTCTTTTTAATGTTTTTAACCATTGTTATTATCATTATTATTATTAATGTATTATTTTTATAGTAGAGTGTTTATCAATATGATTGACCTTATTACTGATAATGACGTTCGTTTGATTGTTGGATGCAAACGCAAAGCTGCATACAGAGTTACTTAATTTCGAAATGAGTAAATGATACTATTACTAGATTCACTTTTTGTAACATCTTTACCTGTGCAATCAACACAGTGACAATCAATCGATATTCGCCTTTCAACAACTAGACTGATAGTGAGATATTCATTAGCCTGCTGTAAATGAGATATGCTTTTTGTGAATGATATCTTCAAAGGATTTTTAGTAGTCCTTCTGAAGAGGATGTTGATGCAATCATAAACAGAGAGACATGAGTGGCTAGCGAGTAATCTTATGGAATCATTGCGCGGATTCATTTTTCGGATTCGCTTCTTTGAAAACTGGAGTAATTTTCAATGCACAAAAATCATTAACTCTTTTCTTCGATGCATATGTATGTTTGTGTTCGCATAGTAGGTGAAGTAGTGGCAAGTTTCATTAGTCGAAACACCTTTCGTTACATGAAAGAGAACAAACACCGAGCGAAACATTCACATAATAATAATAATAACAATAACAGTACAGAAACGAGACGAGTTCACATCAACTTTGCTTAATCAAGTGTTGTTTTTCATTAGCTTAATGTTATTTGTCAATATTCAAGATCTTTCGAAGACTCATGAACTTTCAAAAGCGTTTCACATATCTGTATTGTTAATATTATTCTCGAACCATAGAATATATTTCACAATATACCATCAAAGCGTACAGTAATAAAAACTATTATTATGCTCTCTCTATTATCCATCAACCTATTGAAATAAAGAGAGCAGTCATGAAATAAATCAATCATCACATATCTGAAGTTGTCGAATACCGCTATAAAACATCGATCTATCAAAAAACTGATAATTACCGGAATTAACAAAAACAAAACAAGTAACATTGAGAAAGTAACATTTAAATTTCAAATGTATGCAATATAGAAGCATTAGAATCATGTATGTCAACAACACAACAACAACACAACAACAACAAACAAAATATTTCTGAAGAAACAATACATCTGGAAAGGAAAATCCCTGGGTATAGAACATGTAATGTCAATGAAGACGATATATATCACTTGTAGTAAGCGATATATATGTGGAGTGTTTCTTCAATGAACCTTAATTTATTAATCGTACATGTATATTTATATTGAATTATGTATAACATAGCATACATTAAAAATGAGAAACAATGACTAGAAACGAGACTAAATTACTGCCGTGCATAACAACCTTGAGTTTAGCACTTCTGTTATTGTCATAAATGAACAACTCTTTAGAAGACTGTTCATTTAGTTCATCACCGACAACAATATCATTAATCTTTCTGGAAGTTAATGTGTCATTAAATGTGTGTCGTGTCATTTAAGTAAGTTTTGAACGATACAAATTGTTGAAGTAAATTTAGAGTTGAGGAAAGACAGAGAACGCATTTGACTGTTAAGACTGATTATTGTTTTAGAGGAATGAATAAAAGAAAGGCATTAACTTGATTAGATCTGCTCTTTGGTAATAACTAGTCGCTTGCTGCTTGCTCACGTGCAGATTCTTTGAACTGACAGTGATAAAAGTAAATGAGGAATGAACACAAATATGGCTAGGCAAAACGCGTACCGGACCAATGAACTGACCGCAAAAGTATGAAGTTGAATGGGCACAAATGATAGAACTGGGCCAAATAGAGTGAATAACCGAGCGAATGTTTGGAATCGACAAAACATCGAGCAATTAATTCGTCATGACAGAGCAGTCATCATTTTTGAGATGATCAATTACCGATATAAATGATAAGAAATGAGAATCTTGATTGCATTCCTCTTCATCCATCCATCTAACAACAATGATCGGTGATCGTCAGTCTAGGTGATCGACTGCGCTCGCCAATCATCAATTCGAGCACGTTTCTCCGCCGGTGAATTCGGCTCAGCTTTCACATAAGGTTTCGTTGGCTGCAAAGAATTGAGCCAAGGTGTTGTGGCGTGTAAACGTGACGACAGTTGTTGTTGTTCATTCGAGGACGTGTTATTAAGTAGTGATGTTTGTGAGACGACTAGTTGTTGTACAGAAGAGTGATGTTGCTGCTGCTCAATTGCTGTAGCATCTAACTGTGAGTTTGTGTCACCGGCTGTGTTCCTGATTGCTTGTTGTTGTTGTTGTTGTTGGTCATGTGAGGATGCGACACCTCCCCGTTGCGTTGATCCAGCTGCAGTTGTGCTTTGATTGCTTTGGTGCGGACTTGTCGTCGAACAGTCCGAGAAGCCACCACTTGCAAATGCACTCGTTGAAGCGAAATCTACTTTATGAGGGGTATTCGCGCTGTCTGCATTCAGTGAACGCGTTTGTTGTTGTTGTTGTTGCATTGAGAGAGGATTACGTGATGCTACAGCAGCTGCTGCCACTGCGGCAGATGCAGACGACGATGAGGCGGCCACAGCCACTGCTGCTGCTGCTGCGTTGTTGTAGGTGGCGATCTGAGGTGGTGTTAAAAAAACGTTCGGATGATTGAACATTTGTTGTGCGATATTCGAAACACCGTTGAAGTCCGCACTTGATCCAGTCGATGCGAGCACATTCGTAGCGCTGTTAGTGCCGTTCGGTAGATTTGGTGTGGATGGACCCGGTGAATCATCGTCTGAATCGCCACCACCCGATTTACTCTCCTTCCTCTGCAGTGCTTCCATTATGTCGGCATTCGTTCGACTCTCATGTGGCTCATTATATTCAGTGTATTTCAGCAGAACTTTATCCATATCTGTACTCGCATACTGGAACAGTTTATTGGTTGAGTTGAATATGATCAGCGCTATTTCACAATCACAAAGCACCGATAGTTCATATGCCTTCTTCATCAAGCCGAATTTGCGTTTTGTAAATGTCACCTGAACTTTAATTATTTATTCATTTACTCATTAGACAGTGATCATTGCCAATGAAAATTATTTCTCACAATATAAAATCACTCAGGAACAATTCCCAACTGACTTTACTCATAAGCAGTGTTCAATTTTTCATAAATTTCCTAATTGATGCGAAAAAACTGATGCGTTGAAACAAATAAATTCCGTTATAATGCGAATTGCTAGCAGTTCGCGTGATAAGACTATGAAACAGAAAAAATATTTAGAATTTTGATGACAGTTAACTCCTGGTAGGAATATAGTCGGTTACAAACCAACTGATCAGTTACGTAGACTGCGATGACAAAAAAGAACTAAATAGACATCCTGTTAAAATTACTTATCGAGTCCATTTAAAAATATTTTTAAAAAAACGTTTATGAAGGAGTGCAGTTTGTGATTAAAATCGACGAGAGACTGGTTGAATTAAAATTTGCCAATTTCTTCGAAAGATCTTGGAGATGAGCTGCGAGGGCAAGCAATTCTGAAGTGAAGAAATATTCTTACGGTTATCGAAACAGCAACATATGACCGACCATACAGGTGCTATTCACCAAAATATATCTAGGTGGTTCAAAAATTTTATTCATTACTACTGAATTTTTTTAGAAAGATGTTCTTTGTACTTTATTTGTTTACTAATCCTTTCAGCAGTGTATAAATTTGTCATAATTTCGTATAATGTGTTATGTGAAAAGCCCAGAAGAATCGACGAGAGACTGGTTGATTTGCGAACGTTGATGATTAGCAAAGAAGGCTAGTTAGAGGTAAAGAACCACTTTTTCAATTTTATGGTCCTTGAGGTACACTGATGTGAAATCAACAAATCTTCACCAACCCCGTGAAAATCATTAAAAATCCAACCTAACTGCTGCTGCTGCATCTGCAGAAGATACTTTTGAAATTTTGAAATTTTTTGAGATTTTAAATTGAAATTTCTTCAAAATCACTTGTCACGTGATACTAATCGCGAATGAAATTTTCAACGTGCAAGGTTGCATTCAAAAAATTTTTTGAATCACTTTTTTAAAAATCACTGATCGACTGAAACTTTAAAGCACTTGTTATGTGCAAGGATAGAAGAACCGAACGATATCGTCAACACAATGAATTTATTAATGCGAGTGCCTTGCTGATCTCGTTTTCTAGCAGAGAAGTGACTGCAGAAAACGTGCAGATGACAATATTAAAACTGAAGAAAATCAGAAAGTATTTTTCATGAAAGCTACTTTCTGTTTGAATGATTGATCAGAGAAAGGGCTTGATATGCGGCAGGAGCCTTGTCCCGCAGTCTGACAACTTGCTAACTGGCGCAGCTGAGATTCACAAAATTCAACAAATGATTTCCGTTATCCGAACGGATCCAACAACCAACAGGTAGAGGAGGGTGGATCATGACAAAAATTACGGCTGTAAAGTGAAACTGACACGAAAGGCATGCACATAATCATAACAATCAAAAGAATTGATAGTATGCCGTTCGTGCGTCTTTGGTCTTCTTATTATCATGCGTTAGGAAAAATATGGAATTTGCGCTGATCAGTGACATTATGATGAATCAACGAGTGCAGTAGATGGATGTTTCAAGGGGAACAGAGAAATTGCGGCAAAGATTAAGTAACAGATGATATCAGTTCACAGATCACATTCATTCATTCTTGTTTTTCATTTCACCGATAAATGATCGCTTCGACATTTTTCTTACGTAAGAAATTGTCGGCAAGAAATAAGATGGAACAGTTATATGTATATGTGGACATGTTCTTCATGAAAAGAATGAGTTGAATAAGTTGCTAAGACGGAAACATTTCACAATCAAACAATCTAGTGCAAAAAGCCAGTGTTGGACACGCTACTAAAAAACAATAGCTTCGTTATTGCTAATCCGATAAAAAAATAAAGTATGGTTGAAAAAGCTAATGTCAGAGCATCACTCACATTGAGAACGTTCAGCTTAACTACCTTATCCATACTAAGCAAAGTACCTGACCTAAACTTGTCCATCCTAGAATAAACCTCCTCCTCTTGGTTTTTCCCTGATCAGTACAGTAACAAACGCTACGTTAATATCGTTCAAAATGTTCGAAGAAGATACGCACATTTTGTCTCGAAGAGACAATGTGGGAACGCATCCGAACACCAAGGGAGACTATTAATATTAGGATCAGAAACTTTAGAACTGCGACGATTTTATACTGATCGTTGAACAGACCACAACATTATTTAACGTCAGGTTGATCTCCCAATGGGAGAATTTTTCGAATTTGATTTTTTTCTCTTTTTTTTTCCAACCGTTCTCCTCTCCCCAACACCAGTTGGGTGAGTGTACTCGCCAAACTGTAATCATCCGTACCGAACATAGTTGCACATATTATTCTCCGAATAAATACCAGAACCTCGAGAACAAATTTGAAAAAAACCTCGTTGCACTGCCACCAAACCTATTTGAAGCCAAACACCTTAGGCGGAATACTAGAGGTATGATTGAATACTCAACTTCTAACTGTTACAAGTACGGTGGCTTCGATGTCAGAACAAATATGTATTCGCATACCCTAATGTTGCATTAAATGCATTCACTTGCACATGAACAGATAGCGGAAGTAGTTCGCTGAAGCGCTATTCAAACACAGTAGCAGAAGCTATCGCTAGAAACTGAAAACAGTAGTGCATTATCGCGTTACTGCTAGTATCTGAATGGCGCACTATTGCCCATCTCTGCAAAAACCTATTATATCATTTAGGCGAATCGGATATATTGCCATCAAAATATCAATTGTGTAGTGAATGATTAAAAACTAAGCGAAAAGAGATCATTAATCAAAAATTCGAAAACAATAATATATTTTAATTGATATTGTTGACGTGATCAGATATCAGTTCTAAGCATTAACACTAATAATTTGATCGCAGTAAACTATCATTATTAACAAGCAGTGATTAGATATGGTTTATGAGTAACACTTCATGCTGAAAATATACCTCTATTTTTGGAAAGATTGAATGACGTCAATGATATCATACCTTTCTCAATGAATAATTACTCCAAAAAATACAAGAGCTCATTCAGTTTCTTTTTTTTTCAAATTCGAGTCCCAACAATCCATTTCCGATTCGGATTTTGAAGTCAAATAAGACTTTTAGTTTATGGCATGGAATCTAACATTTGAAATTGTATTTTGTGCAGCAAATTACTATTGTTCTTCATTTTCATCATCAAACATTTGAAATTCGCTGATGTGAAAAGACGATGAAGATAATGCAGAATTTCCCGAATTTGTTCTCACATTGAATGGATTGAAAAAATGAAAAAAAAACTGAGTTAATGAAATTCAATTTGCAATTCGTCGAAATCGAGCAATATCAGCCAAATGTTTCGATTGGTAAATGCCATCGTTCGATGGAATAAAGTGTTCATACCATTTTGATATGAACATGTCGTATCCTTAGAGATTACACCTCATGTACTTTGGACTGTAAGTCTAGAGTTGGTAAAGTCATTTATAGATTATTGATATGAAAGGACTCGACTAAGCATTGACATGTGAATCAATTGATCAAATAAAAATCAGCAAGTGAAATTATCACTAATAGTAATGATCGTCATGAAAAAGACTCCTCAATGTTGTTTGATAACAGTCATCGATCACGATACACCCTCTCGTATACGTCGACAAGAACACACTTCTTTGGGGATTAGTTTAAGAATTGGCGCTTATCGTTTGTTAAAGAGGGTTGCATATTACTTACTTATAGGGTGCAGTCTGTTGAAACGATAGCACATCATGAAATGATGATCATTTTCAGTAATCAATCAATCATTGTTTTTGCTGTGTGCTCAACGATAGCACAAACAAAAACGAAATGTACTAAATTTTTTTTCGTTTATCTACTATTTACATGCATTTCTTAACCAATCTACGTCATACTGCTTCTATTTTTATACAACACGACTACTTTTAATACTTGTTACTGTTGCAGTTACTGCTGTTGATTACGTAAGAGAGTATCAGATTCGAAAGAACAAGTCCATCCATTCTTTTGCAAGAGCACAACAACCAATAACCACTCTGAAAAATGAACAATTTTCATAGTTCTTCTGTATTTCATTCCGATACTTCTTCTTTGCATCCATTCTTTTTTTCTTCGTTTCATTAGCACCTGTCAAATGTTCTGCTATGATTATTTTTTTCTTCTTCTTCTTCACGAAAAGTTTAATTCGATTTCGATTGATCGCTCGATTCCAAAACGATTTTGAGCCCATCTGAAATTCAAAAACACGCACCTAACCTCTAAGAGCAATTCAATGCTTCATTGTCGAATTATATCATACACTGTTGTTAAAGTTGGTTTCCAGTATCACTAGATTCAATTGTGTCGTAATTAATTGATGTTTGGTTCACTCATTATCTGAACACCTTCTTGATAGCTGCTATTTACAGCAGATAGACTTATTCGCGTGCAGCACTCAATTCTAGCAAAACAAAAACAATGAATGGTCATTTGCATTGTGGCGGTGAGTGAAAAAATTTCTAATAGGATTTAGTGATAAAATATTTGATGGAAGTTTACGGTTTATAGCTCAGCCGTAAGCTGTGCTGATGATAATGAAAGCAGATAAAATGTTAGAAATTCACTAATTACAACAAAGACACAACAGCACTAAAAACCAACAAATGAATTCATGATATCCTGCATCATTTGTAAGTTTGATTTGATGAGTACAAATGACACTACAAAAATGATCATTGGTGTTGGTGAAAACTTGGATAACATAACTATATGAAAAATTTCGAGTGCAACTTCGAATTTAGAATCAGCAGTCATGACGAATGAAACAACACGTTATATCAGATGATCAAATCAGTTTCGTTTGAAGTAAACTGTGAGTTTTAAATCAAAACATTAATCACTTACTTACAGTCAATGCGCCATCTCATTTTATTTTATTT